TTTTTTTTTTTTTTTTTTTTTTTTTTTTTTTTTTTTTTAATATGTTGTTTTAGGCTTTATATCCGGGGGATACTGTGGTCTTGGAAGGGATCTGAATTTGGAAAGGAATTTAGGTTTTACTCAAAGCTGGGATGAAAGGGTAAGGGCAGGTATCATAATAGGTCTAGGGATTTCTGGTCTTCGAACGTTTTTCGGTAGGGATTTGGAGGACGGGGGCGGATCCAGCAATTTGGCAACACAGGATTTTCTTCAATTAACAGGGTTGTCACAGTCGGGGAACACCGGGAAATGTCAGGGAAAATGACGAAAATGTCAGGAAAAATTTGTTGAATCACCTCCTTTTACTCTCTAGAATGGGTTTGAGATTTTGAACAACACATTTTTCATTAAAACTATTTTCAATTATGTCTTCTTAACCGTCCGTCACATTTTCAATTGTCAGGGTATTTCGCCAAAATGTGTCTGGGAAATCAGGGAAATATCAGGGAATTTCATTTTCTAAATTCTGTGGCAACCCTGAATTGAGTATCTCTCCTCGCAGCTTACGTTGAATACTTTACGTTGTCTATCCAAAGTTCCTAGAATCAACTCAGAGATGAAAGATGAGCTCAATCTTTTTAATTTAAAGGTTCGGTTTGGTCACGCAACTAAACTAACTCCGCAGCAAAGCGTGCGGTATCAGGGTGGACTGAAGGCGTTAGTCCAAATCGCGCGGAGCATCTTTACCACTTTTCTGAATAAGCTTCCTTTGCAAGTTAGGTTCGATTTGGTCACGCAACTAAACTAACTCTGCGGCAAAGCGTGCGGTATCAGGATGGACTGAAGGCGTTAGTCCAAATCGCGCGGAGCATCTTTACCCCTTTTCTGAAAAAGCTATTTCTGTGTGAGTAAGGTTCGGTTTGGTCACGTAACTAAACTGACTCTGCGGCAAAGCTTGCGGTATCAGGATGGACTGAAGGCGTTAGCCCGTATTGTGCGGACCATCTGCACCACACTTCTGAGCAGGAAATCAACGCGCTAGATCATTTTTGAACTCCATTTTGATATCAGGAACTGATTTTTATGGCTCTTCCATTAAATTGTGTACATGTGTAAAGGAACCAATGCCCTCTGTGTACTCACCCCGTCATTCATCGGTCATCATCTGGTTAATTCCATTCGATTTTTTGCAAAACAAAAATCAATTAAAGCATTATCTGGATCGCATAAATTTTTCTGTTGAAAAGGTACTGAACTTCTTGGGAATGTACTGAAAAAGCACTGTAAAAGTACTAATTTTTGGCCAGCCTGTTTTCGTAGATACCCTGGAGGAACTACTTTTTGTGGCTTATTCATATAAGCTTCGCATGCACGGGGAATCAAATGGCTCTTACAATCTTCCTAAAATTAGACAGAAATAGTATGTCCCTGTACATCGCCAAATGTAGTACATCGGGTACTCGGTTCTCTTTCCGCTGGGCTGTGTTTCCGACTTACCCCGCCGTCGACTCAAGTGCACAATGAAAACCTCACCTTACTCTTCGCTAGTTCGGTAATGATCGGAGGGGGAGGGGGGCTGTACACGCAAGGCTGCGCCGCACAGTGGATCGAGTCGATCAGAGCGATCGGACATTAAATGTTTTACTAATTCTGCACATTTTGATGTTAATTTCGTCACAATGGAGATGTTGCATGTGTGAGGAATTTGCGATTGACTGTTGATTCTTAGGTAAAAGTTCGCGAGAAACACGATGGTGCCACTGGTTTTCTCTGAAATCAACTCCCAAGCTAAAAAAAAGCTCTCGCGTTGAGGCCAAAATGGAGGGGATATCCCACGCTAGCCTGAGAGTCCACCTCTACATCAAGACAAACTCTCCATGCAAAGATAGGGAGCAAATACATTGACAGGGCTGCCACTTTATTTGAGGACTCTAAAACTGAAAACACGGCATCCCTGCTAATGTATTTGCTCCCTATCTTCGCATGGAGAGTTTGTCTTGATGTAGAGCTGTTTGTCTTTTTTTGAGCTTGGGAATTGATTTGAGAGAAAACAAGTGACGCCATCGTGTTTCTCGCGAACTGTTACTGTAGAATCAACAGTCAAATCGCAAATTCCTCACACTTGCAACATCTCCATTCAAAGTTTAAGGGATGCCTCGAGACCTTCCTCTCACGAGGAAACCAATGGAATCACTTGAAGAACCTCGAAGTTTTATATATTCGGAGTTATAAGCGTTGAAAGTTTACCGAGTTTGTCCGAGCTCTCCTATTGGTTCGATCCTCTGTGCGCCGCGCCGCGGGCGGGAGGCGCATTTAAACTCGTAAAATGATGCGAATGTCAACCGAAGTACCGAAAGCGGGTCAGTGAACTTGATTCTGAGCCCCTCCTTCCAGTCGCTCCCCCCGCCCCGCGGGTGCAGACGTGTGCACCTCCCCCTCTCCCCTCCACCCCTCCCCTCGTTCTGGAGTCCCGAACGCGCGGTGTTGCCGAGGCGGCCGGCGCAGCGCCGTGATCCTTGTCGACTGCAGGTGGATATTTTAGGTCGGGCGTCAGATGCAATTTATTTTTCTTTCTTTTTTTTCTTTCTTCTTCTTCTTTATTCTAAATATAGAGAACTGAACATAGAGAGCTGAATATAGAGAGTAAAATATAGACGCAAAATGAGATTTCATTTTCCACGAGATTTCAACGATTTTTCAGGGGCTGCGCTCGCAGCTTGCAACGATCATCCGAGAGTTCGTTGAGAAACTTTAAAATTCGACTTGTGAAATTTTTATTACGAACCAATTTTTTTTGAAAAATTTAGTCGTATTTAGAAAAAAGTTCAAGAACATGGATGTTAACTCTCTCGCCAGAAAAGAAATTCTTAAAAACCCGGACGCGTTTTGAAAGAATGCTAACTTTTCATCCCTATCGGCGCGGCTGATAATTCTCTTGCTGCGCGTGCACCAGTGGCGTGGCGTGAATGATCGATTATCGATATTTCCCGATTTGAATCCGTGGTAAAGAATCGATTATTAAGGTGTTATTTTGTAAATTTTGAAATCTTGCAACAAATTAAATTTACCTCGGCAATTGTCGTATTGAATTTATAGTTTATTGGGAGTAAAGATAAAAATTATTTAGATGATCAGTTAATATTTGCTAGGTAAAAACATTTGTATTTGGAGTGTAGCCGAGTGCTAGGAATAATTCAAAGTTTTCTTTAAAAAAACTAACATTTTATGAACAAAACTTGATTATCAAAAGTGTGGTGATCTAATAGTTTGTTATCAATTGTTACCACTGAAATATGTGACCTTGTTTGAAATTAAAGTATGGCCTTTGTGATATCGATTTTGTGACCCTGACGATGAAGCGTTTGCTTCGAAAAGCTTCGGTTAAAGTTTGTCAAGAACATTTTACATTATTTCTAGCACTCGGCTACACTCCAAATACCAGTATATTCAGTGCTACTACCTTTTAGACATTGTATTACAATGCTCGCTGATCTTGAGGTAAAAACAGTCGCACAATCTTAGCGACATTGGAATGCTCGTGGTTCCTTTTTGCGAAATGCAATCCCTCTGTCTCTGCTAGCAACCCCTCTGACGAAAAAGAAAGAAATTGAAGGAGTCGAAAGAAAAGAGGGAAACTTACGCGGAGAGATGGCCAGTCGGATTGATAAGCTGGCGCTTGCCCGATGCCGGCGTATGGGAGCGGCGGCGGCGACTTTTTTCGACTTTCGCTTTCTGTCGGGATCACTTTCCCTTTCCCAAGCGTGAATCTCATCATAGCCGTGCCCGTCGCCCCGTTTAGTGATAAGTTATGTCAAGCACTCCGCCCCCCCCCCCCCCCCCCNCCTATCACTCTCACCTCAATCACCGGCCAGTCCCTACTCCCGATGCCGCTGTAATGACCAATGACGTGGTGTGCTCGGCGATGTATCGATTCTCCAAATTTCCTACTTTCGTCGAATAGAGGTGCTAGAAAAGTATCAAGGTTGCCACAGCATTGGGAAGAAAACACATTGGATGTAGAGTCCAGACTCTGGAAAACATTGACAAGTAAAAGGACTCTTGATTCAATCAGATTTAAGCTTAAATCAAAAGGAAATCCGCTCGAATTAAGAGGCTTGGTTCTTGATTTAAGCTTAAATCTGATTGAATCAAGAGTATTTTTTCTTGTCGATGTTTTCAAGAGTCTGGACTCTAGATCCAATGTGTCTTTTTTCCAGTGAGTCAGGGAAAACCGAGAAATGTCAGGAACTTTTAAAGAGTCAGGGAAAATCGGGAAATGTCAGGAAATTTTAAAGAGTCAAGGAAAACCGGGAAATGTCAGGGAAAATGACGAATATGTCAGGGATAATTTTTTAAATCTTCTTTATTTACCTACCTTCTGAAATGGGTTTGAGGTTTCGAACTACAAAGTTTGCCTGAAAACTATGTTCAATTATGTCTTCTTAGCCATTTGCCTTATCTTCTGTTGTCAGGGAATTTCACCAAAATATGTCAGGGATTTTTATTTTCTAAATTCTGTGGCAACCGTGAATTGAGAATTTCTCCTCACAGCTTACGTTGAATACACTACGATGTCTGTTCAAAGTTCCTTCCTAGGATCAACTCAGAGATGAAAGATGAGCTCAATCCTTTTAATTTAAAGGTTCGGTTTGGTCACGCAACTAAACTAACTCTGCGGCAAAGCGTGCGGTATCAGGGTGGGCTGAAGGCGTTAGTCCAAATCGCGCGGAGCACCTGTACCACTTTTTTGAATAAGCTATTTCTTTGTAAGTTAGGTTCGGTTTGGTCACGCAACTAAACTAACTCTGCGGCAAAGCGTGCGGTATCAGGGTGAGCTGAAGGCGTTAGCCCGCATTTAGCGGAGCATCTGCACCTTCACTTCCTAATTTTTCTGTCAGGTTTTGCTATCACTCACAATGTTTCTTACGAAAGCGTGTTCTTTTTCTGTTGCAGTCGAAAGGCACCTCACTACAAAGACTGAGCCAACACCCTTCTCGAGGCCTGCTCCGACATATTCTTCAACAAGTCTACAATCAAGCAGTCATAGATCCGGACAAATTAAACCAATACGAGCCGTTTTCACCGGAGGTGAGTTCAATACAGGCGATTCTTGAAAGTTGGTACCACTGTTTGCCTCCATTTGAATGTGGCTAAAACAATCGATTCTTGGCTATGTAGCTTGCCGCACCTAAAATCGATATTTTTGATGGATTTAAATGAAAGAAAAACAGCGTTGCCAACCTGCAAAATTGTCACTGAGTTCAACTTGGACCGCGTTTAACAGAAAGGAACCAAGCCACATCAGCTATTGCCAAATTTAACTGGGAAATTTAATTTATTAAGAGAGAACGTTTGTGCCTATTCCTTGGAAAATTTTCAAGAATTTGCTTCCTAGTGTGGAGAAAATTCACATAAATTGGCACATCAATCCGTACAGCCATTTCCATGAAAAAAGTTAAATTGCCCAATTAAATTTGGCAGTAGCTAATGTAGCTTGGTTCCTTTCTGTTAAACGCGGTCCACTTGTTTGTTCTTAACGCGTGGTTTTTATTGCAGGGTTCCCAACAGTCTGGAAAACCTGGAAAGTCAGGGATAGGGCCACTGAACATGGTCTGAACTAGAGTTATAAGTCACTTGTTGTCCCTTCTTAAGGTGATTCGTCAAGCTCAAGTGACGTGGTCGAACTGGCACGCGATATATCGCATCGATTAGGTCAAAAATCTCGGCAGATTTTGAATTTTTGGTAATTAAAAGGACGATAGCCCCTGCGCATAAGCTTAAAGTATCATTCTAAACTCAAAAATCGGCAAAATTCAGAGAAATGAAAGCAGAGTAGTGTTGGGAAAAAAACCTCGCATTCGATTCAGCTATCGATTTCTGTAACGAATGCGAGGTTTTTTTCCCAACACTACTCTGCTTTCATTTCTCTGAATTTTGCCGATTTTTGGGTTTAGAATGATACTTTAAGCTTATGCACAGGGGCTATCGTCCTTTTAATTACCAAAAATTCAAAATCTGCCGAGATTTTTGACCTAATCGATGCGATATATCGCATGCCAGTTCGACCACGTCACTTGAGCCTAATGAATCACCTTAAATTCATGTAGGCAACAATTCACACAGCGTGAATTTTGGAAATCAACTTCTGAACGAGGTATTAGCAATTATTTTTAACATATAGATCAAATGGAAGTTAGATTCTACAAAATGATGTCATTTGTATTTTTGCCATTTAACCATTTTTAGTTTTGTAAACACCCATATCTTGTCCAGGAGTCGATATTCTGACCCCCCTTCTTGTGATTCGTTTTCTTTGAAGAGGCAACATGTTGCGTAGTGCTTTTGTCCATTCATTGTTTAGAAGCCTCTTCATCAACCTGAAAAAGTCAGGAAATTCAAAGGAAAAGTCAAGGAATTTAGCAAGGAATGCTCAATGGAAGTCAGCTAAAGCAAATAAAAAGAAAATCTGAAAGGAAGTTTTGTTGAAGAGGCAGGTGGTGTCGGGGAATTCGAAAATCTTAAAGTGCGGGAAAAGTTAGGGAATCGGAAAACAAGGAAATTATGGGAACCCTCCTATAGATGCTGAGCCTGATGTTAATCATGAGTGACATCATTCCAAAAAATATTTGTTTAATTTATTAAACTTATTTTTTAATGAAAACGATTGTGCAGATTTCAGTGAATTTTGTGCTTGTATTACTTGTTTTTGACCTCCATTCTATATTCTTTTCCAGGTTTATGGTGAGACATCATTCGATCTGATCTGTCAGATGATCGACGAAATCAATATAACTAAAGATGATGTTTTCGTGGACCTCGGATCCGGCGTCGGTCAAGTCGTCCTGCAGATGGCCGCTGCAACACCCTGTAAAATCTGCTTCGGCGTCGAGAAAGCGGATGTCCCCTCCAAATACGCCGAGGAGATGAACCATCATTTCCGCAAATGGATGGGCTGGTACGGGAAGAAGTACGGAGAGTACCGGCTGCTCAAAGGCGACTTCCTCATGGAGGAACATCGGGAGAAGATAGTAGGTGCTACGATAGTTTTCGTCAACAATTTTGCATTCGGACCGACCGTGGACCACATGTTGAAAGAACGCTTCGCAGACTTGAAAGATGGTGCTCGCATCGTGTCGTCTAAGTCGTTCTGTCCCCTCAACTTCCGCATCACGGACAGGAATCTATCAGGTATGACTTAAATTATCTTAGAATATTTTCAAGTAAAGATCGGAATAGACCACCAGACAAGGTACAAATTTAAGTATTATGATACGTGTTTTTTAACCAGAATTTCACGGAAAACACCATTCTCGCATCAAAAATCACTGAAATAATTCCTGAATTAGATTTATTCATTTATTTATTTACAGTTCCAATGGGTCATAAAGACCCATTTGCTAAACATTATAACAAAACGAAGACACAACAAGACGGCAATAAGATTAAAAAAAAAAAAAACAAACAATAGTACAATATTAAAGTAACAAATTATAGAAAGTTGTCAAAAAGTGACATAACTACAACAAAATAATTAATTGATTACCCAGAGAGATCAGAAAGGAATGTCCTCTTTGTGGCAGCTTTAAAATTACAGATTATAGAATTAAAGAGGTCAACTGGCACAGAGTTAACAACCTTACTCATTCTGGTGACCAGTGACCTATCAGAACTATTAGAATTAGTATTAACGTTAGATATTAACGTTTTAATTTTACTTTGGTACCCGAAATTGAATTGCCCAGTCACAAGAAACAATACTCTACATGAGTCAAATCGCGCACTACAACAATTTTGGCAGGCTTCTCAATCGAGCATTATTCATTTCCCACCCTTCATTGTTTAAAGTGTAAACAAGTTGCTATAGCTGAGCCAAAGCGTCAAGATTGAGAGTGCCATATTTTTGTATCGCAGAGACTGCCAAGGTAACGTTTAGTAAGCGATCTGACGAACGTAGACCATAGTATTTTCATGAGCGGGCGATATGAATTCGAGCATCAAGAGCTACTAAACATCTTGGTTCGTAGTCCATTTCAGTAATTTTCGTTTCACAAATCTTGTCCTACATTAAATTTTGGTGAAGAAACGTGTATCAGAATGCTTAATTTCGTACCTTGTCTAGTGGTCAATTATTTTCTGTCAGCCTTCCTCAATCAGCTGAAAGATTCTTTTTATTTTGCGCAAATAATTTAACCTCACTCAGAATCTAATGCAGGGTGTCCAGCTACCGGGGAAACGGAGAAATGTCAGGGAATTTTTTTTTTGTGTCAGGGAAATCAGGGAACACGTCAGGGAGTCTGCAAAAACTCAGCATGTCAGGGAATTTTATCGCACAATCGATTTTTGTGTCAGGGAATCATCAGTGAAACAGAAAAACATAGATTTTTCGGAAAATGAATTATTTTCTCGGTCTGTCAGAGAATTTTAAATTTTTTTCCCATTTTTAGGGCGTTTTGGTCAGGGAAATGTAAGGGAATTTTTCTTTTAAAATTGCTAGACACCTTGTAATACAATGATTGATGCCCATGTGGTCACCAATTCCTTTTCCATTAGTTTCGTCTGATCGTGAATCTGAGGACCTCTAAGAAAATGTTATGATCAACTGCAAAATCATGATTTTAAAGACATTTTGGCATCTATGGAATTGAACATGTAACCATCTTGGAGAAGTGACCACTACTTTACTCAGTCAGTATTATGTAATGCATCTCGAATTAGCGTTATTGACTTTTTAGAGGAGAATACATATTTTGAATGTGCAGTTTTGGACATTTTTAAGATCCAGTGTGCAGTTACTGCTAGAAAAGAAACTATTGGTTTTTAATTTTTGTATCGATGTTATCATTTGTATTCGTACTAGTGTAGGGTACTTGATTTAAGTATTTCAAAAGAGGTTATTAAAAAGTAAGTCAGCTTGTAATTTATGTTTTGTATACCATTGTGCCTAGCAGAAAAACAAATAAATAAATAAAATTACAATTATAATAATAAGAAAACAAGTCAGTTGTAGTCAAGTAGGATAGTGTGTATTACTGACTTTGGCTTGGGCCCGTCAGTAATACTTATACTGGAAGTGTTCCCTCTTCTGAGTTGAAATAAAAAATAAAAAAAAAAAATTTCTGCATAGAACTCCAAAGTTTTCCAACAGTTTCGTCTTACGCAATTATCTTAAGAAGATCTGAATCGGGTTTGTAGGGTTTTTGAAGTAGCACTGAGTGTTGAAAGAAAATGTGATTTATAGAAAATGGGTTCCCATTTTTGTCAGAAAGATGAAAATCAAGGTGCACTCGTGAAGTGAAATACATTTCTTTTAGGTAACCACCTTTTTCATTCATTTTTTGGTCTAATGTTAGTTTTATTTTATCTGCTTCCAGACATCGGCACCATAATGCACGTGTCCGAGATGGCACCGCTGCGCGGCTCTGTTTCTTGGACAGGGAAACCAGTTTCATATTATTTGCATGTCATCGATAGGACAAAACTAGAAAGGTATTTCCAGAAACTGAAGAACCCACGAGCACAACGGAACGCCGCTGCAGCCCTCCAACGCAGCTACAACAGTGAATCTGCTATCGAATCAAGGACTACACGGGAGAAAGCCCGTCGATTCTTGACGAAGAATGGAAGTAACGATTCCTTAACAACTAATGGTGAGGAATCAACAGGTTTAGTGTTTCTTTGTAAAATATTCCAGTGCTCAAATGGAGAATATTTTAAAGAAAAGCTAGAAGAGTGTGGTGAGGTCAAGGAAATACAAACCTTTATAGTGATGAACTAATGTGTCTGTCGTAAGCAGACAAATAGTCAAATCAGGCATTTAGCCTAATGCCTAGGCAAATAGTGATAAATTCTTATTTAGACTGACATTCTGATTCTTTTGTTAATTTTAGACAAAATAATTTTATTGCTCCTGTAAAAAAGAAATTTCTGTAAAAGTGTACATCATTGATCAGTATTTTAAACGGTTTTTGAATGAACGTTTATGTTGAAATTTGCAGCATGTCGTAAGACACAACATTTTTAAAATTTTAATGTTTAAATATATGATGAGTATCTGGAGAGCAAAGAAAAAGGAGAGTTTGTAAATTTGATGAGTCATTTTTTTTTCCTAAACTTCGTAAAATGTCTAAATTGGACTATCTGCCTAGGTATTTGATAAAACGCCTGATTTGGTTAATTGCCTGCCACACATCGATGGCTGACCTTAAGAAGCATGCATCTCCATTTGCAATGATTTTATTCACTCCATTTTTATTTTTGAAGGAAAACTATTAATATCCCTCATCTCTTAAGTTTTGCTGAGAATCTTATTAGGTGCTATGACAGTGAACAGCAAGATTTCCAGGCTGAAATTTTGTTCAGTTTCCTTATAAAAAAATATAAAAAATCCAGAAATTTTGAGACATATTAGTGGAGTAACTCTTTCTTTCTTTTATTCATCAATTCTCATTATGTCCAACTGATTTTACATAAAATTTTGATGGAAATACATAAGTTGTGGTTTAATTCTTAGTGAGTTTAGTGGTCCACCATTAATGGTGCAGTCTTAACCTGCACTCATGATGTTATTGTAATTTTATTATTAGTTTGTATTGTTTTGGTTTATTTGTTTATTTATGAGAGTTTCCAAGGTATATTTTGCATCAACAACCTTGGCTGTCCAAGCATGTAACATCACAAAAATCTTGTATCAAGTAGACAAACTGGAAAATATTAGAAATAATAGAACAAGTAAAATAGACGCTATCAGTGGCACATCAAAAGCGACTTATATCGATTTATTCGCATTGGTAGCATTGAATGAGGTTACGCCAATTTTATTGTTTGGACCCAATTCGACATAATGGAGAATCCCTATGATGACGTCGTTACTAATAGCTTCTGTAAAAGAAACAAGTAAAATTAACCAACGATCAAACAGGTGCTATCATGGTCTGTTTTGATTAATTAATTTTCAATCCTATCCTCCATTTTCATCTTATTCTGAAACACTTTTATTTCTCTTTTCAGCTTCCTCCAATAGTTCCACAAACGGCAACAATAACGACAGCAATAATAACATGAATGGTGAGGAGAACGGAATAGATAATGCCTCAACGAATGGTTTGGAGAATGGTACCAGGAATGGGCTTATAACATCAGAGTCCGAGCACTCTCACTCCGAGAACGAGTCTGGCACCAACTCGGCGATACCGAGAGTTACCACTAGAAAAGCTTGGTCCGATTATTGCAGTAATAAGGGTCGCTCGAGTAATTCGGAAGAAGAAAACAACAATGGTATGTACCATAAATGATTCTTCACTCTAGGATTTTTAAATTTTACCGAGCTTTGAAGCGTGTTGTCCAGGACTGAGAATGACTGGGAAAAACTGTGATTTATGAGGAAATCTGTTCCAGAAACTGGGAATACCTTCCTCTACTGCTTTGAGACTGATTTTTCCCTTAACTTCATATAATTTTTTTCATGTTATCTTTTTAATACAGTCATTTGCCGAGAATGTATAAAAGTTTAATACTGAGTTTGTTTGTGCGTTTTTTGTTTGAGGAAACTTCGGTTTTTCATCAGAGATTGAGCTCATAAAAATCAGAGAAATGGTCTTAGTTAAGAATTCCAGACATCATGCATCATATCTCCCTTTTTTGTATTTTGAACAATTTTCTTGCCAACATGATGTTTTTATCTCTACATTTGATGTCATGCAAGGGAGTGTTAGGATGTTTTTAAACTTTGGACAAAGCTTAATACTCAATCAAAGCAGCAGCTGTAATGGAGTTGTCAAGGGAAACAGACACTGAAATCTAAAAGCAATCATCTCTCCAGGAAAGATAACAGAAGCATCAAATTGTACTGAAATTCTTTTTCACTATTAAACTGTACATGATTTCTCAAATTTTAGGAAGGAAACTGAGGACTGAACTTTGTACTTATTTATGGCTCGATTTTTCTAGATACTCGGATCGCCGGTCGTGTCCGTCAAACTAAGAAACTGCGTCGCAAAATGCCAAGGAACAACAAACCAGCACCATCAACCACTGCCACCGCTCCTGTGGTTAAGCCGCCACCAAAGCGTGCCAAGGGCAAACCAAAGAAAGGAAGGAACAAGCGAGCAATCAAAATTACTGGCCTTGATCTTCTCCACAGTCAAACGCTCCTCAGTACCTCGCCTCAAGGTATCAACAATCATTATTTCACCAACCTTTGGTACCAGTCAAGTTTTTTTTATGGAAAGTTGCATTATGTCAGTAGAATTACTTTCATGGTTCTATTCTGCAAAATTGAAATTCTGCCCTAAAAATATCATTAGAAAATATCAAAATATTCAGATGTTAAAATCATTTTGAGAGAGCTAAAATGAGCTGCATTAGGTACATTTTTTAAATATAAACTTGATGCCATATTTTCTTCCTCTCTGTATATTTTTGTGGTTTTTTCTTATATTTTTAATGAGTAACATCCATTTATAGATGCCAGTGTGCCATTATGTGATTGAGCAGTTCCAAGAATTGAACATTACTCTCTCATAAAAAAAAAAAACCATACTTACAATTAGTCTAACCTCGTAGCATTTTGGCCTGAATACAAATTGGTTAGCTGCTGTTTCCATGGTTTTCTGAAAATTTCACAAATTTAGTTGTTGAAGAATTCCCCGTGTCACATTCAACACTTTTTACATTTTTGACATTTTTTATGTAAATATCCCATTTTGTATCGTACCTTTTGAATCATTAGTTGACAGAAATTCCAGGAGTTCATTATTTCTGTGTAACCATGATTGTTTTTCCTGTACTATCCTGGTGTTTTCAGTAATTATAAATTTTTCTAATAAATTTTAACTTTGTTTTCCAGCGGGTCAAAAACTACCTCCTGCTCCAGGCTGCGTGGATCAACAGCTAACAAACCTCACCGCCTCTCTAAACACCGTCATGAACCACGAGGAGCTGGACATTCCAACGCAACCAACCAACACTCCATATGCGCTCCAACTTCTCCTGGATATCTTTCAGCAGCAGTATCTCCAGTTCCTTGATCGGATGAAAACACCAGGCTACAAAGTTGAAGTTGAAAAGAACATCCAGATTGAGAAGGAGCGGAATGAAAAACTTCAACTGCGAGCTGCTCAGCTTGAAAAGCAGATCAAAGTCTTGATTGATGAGAGCGTTGCATTTTTGAAAACGAGAATGACAGAAATTGGTATCGAAGCAACAACTCCTGCTGATCTGTTATCCAAAGCGAAAGAAATCGTAATGAAGCACAAGGAACTGCAAGCTAAAGCTGCTAAATTGCAAGCGCAGGTGAACAACTTGGACGAAAACAATGCAAAGCTGGTCGCCAAGAGGAACCAAGAGATGGCTGCCCAACAGCAGCAACAGAAGGAAATACAGCAGCAGAAAGAACTTCAACAGCAGAAAGAGTTGCAACAGCAGAAGGAACTGCATGAACGGCAGCTACAACAACAGCAATTGCAGCGACAGCAGCAAATACAACAGCTCCAGCAGCAGGAACAGCAGCTGCAGCAACAGAAGAAGCTCCTGCAACAACAGCACCAAGCACAACAGCAAGCGCAGCAACAAGCGCAACAGCAGGCACAGCAACAGGCACAGCAGCAGGTGCAACAGCCGTTAGTGCAACAGCAGCATCCACCCCCCGCAATAGCGCCGGTCACAGCACCCACAACGCCTGCTGGCCCTATCGCAGCCAATGCAATGATTAACTCGTCTCAATCTTTGACACAGGAATCGATATTGAAGGAAATAGCAACAACTCTGGGTCAACGCAAGAAGTTACACTCGCATGTGAGCAAGCTTGAGACGGAACTGACAGCACTGGAAAAAGCGAGGGTTATCTCTCAGTCTCCAGTAAGTTTACTCTTCCTTTCTGTTGCCATTCAACTTTTTGTGGTTAAAAAATCCACGGTAAATTTTCTCTCCTACCTTGGAAGCTAAAAAGCTAAAATAGAAATTAATTATCTTAACTTCTCAGTTTTAGAACCTTCAGAATTTCTCAGCAAAACATCTTGTTGATTTTTATTATTGATTTATCCTCTTTTCTTAATTTTGCCCACATTTTTTAGCTTCAAAGGACCTATTGCAAATGAAGGCTAAGTTTAGCTGTATATTGTGTGAAAAAAATTCTCTTCAACCTCCTCCTAAAAAAGTAAAGTGTAAATGAACGATGCACACCCGGTGCATCTCTTTTCAACCTCTCTAATCAAATAGTAAATTCTGCAGTCAAGTTGATTCTTTACTTTTCGGTTTTTCAAGTGACAATTTTTGGGAATGAGAACTAACAATGTCTGTGGTAGATTGATTGTTTTGGAAAATTTGAAGGCGAAACTTGAAAATCTGATTATTTTTCAATTTTGCTCATAACTACTTCAAATTGCTTTGCTGTTGCATAATGCACTTTGTTAAAACTTTATTAGCACTATGAACAATACCATCCATGAGGATGGACAACATTTTTTGAAACCGATCAATGCAACTTACTTGTTACTTTTCTTCTCTAAAGTGGTTTCAAGAAAAAGTAACAAGTATGTCCTTTTGATCAGTTTCAAAAAAATGTTATTTATCCATTCTTGTTTAAGGTTGTATTCAAAATCGGTAGATTCAATCATGTTCAACTCCTCTGCTTTAAGAACCTTTAGCACTATTGGGAGAAAAAAATCCTCCAATCAAAAGGTGGATATCTTTCCTTTATACTTCATACTTGAACTGCGTCAAGTAGAAAGGAACCAAGCTACATTAGCTATTGCCAAATTCAATTGGGCAATTCGATTTTTTACTTGAAAACGATTTTGCTGATTTTTGTGTAAATTTTAGTGAATTTTCTGCCTAGTTCAAAGCCAATTCCCTTAAATTTTCATAGGAATATGCACAAACGTTCTTTTGTAAAAAATTAATTTGCCCAGTTACATTTGGCGATAGCTGATGTGGCTTGGCTCCTTTCTACAAAATGCGGTGCAATTGATCTGATCATCAATCAAGTAAATATTTTCTCCTTTCTAGGTTAATGGCAAATATCCAAGCCCCGAGAAGCCCATCGGTGCGACCAACAGCTCCTCAAAGTCCCGCAAATCCCGGGATCATCGGTCTCGCTCGCAGGAATGGCCGGACATCCCAGACGTCGGTAAAATCGAGGAGAAGAATCCTGAAATCCTCGCGCAAAAAATCCTAGAGACCGGACGGCAACTTGAGGCGAACCGGATCCGTTCCATGGAGTCGTCACCCTCCGCCCGCAACTCCTATCCCTCCCACCAGTCGTCGCGCACGTCCCACGGAAAACACTCCCTGCCGCCGATCAACGGGATCGCACACAAAAATCACAGTGCAAACACTGGTAACCATAGTAACAGTAACCTCATGCACGGTAACCACGGCAACCAGCATCCACCATCCCAGCAGCAAAGCGTGAGCTTCACAGCAAACCGGGCCCAGGAACCGCCGCGGATAGCCAACTTCGAGGACCGGTTGAAGTCGATCGTCACGAGCATCCTGAACGAGGACCAAGAGAACAGGAAGCAGCAGCAACAACAGCAGATGAACAGCCTCGGCACTGTCGGAGCACCTGTCAACGCTTCGCCTGCCCCGACTTCGCCGAGCGTGGGAAGCTGGCAGACCCAGCGACCTCCACCTATCGCCAACTACCAGCAACCGCCACAACATCCCCAGCATCAGCAGCTACTCCAGTCGCCGTCGCAACCAGATTACACGCAAGTGAGTTTTTTTTTTACGATCCTTCACTTCAATGGATAAATTATGCTATGTTCCTTGGTAGCGACTGCTAAGAAAAAATTTTTAAAAAACTATCAATTTTATAAAAGATAGCTCCTAAAATCTTTATTTTAAGAAACCCTTTTTGGGTTTCATTTTAGTAAAATTTACGGGTGGCAAAATTAAGTAATATAGTGTTGAAAAAAAACTCTTAAAATATCAACTGTAGTTTTTCAACACTGAAAATGCTTGAAAAAAACGTCAAAAAGCTACAGTGATATTTTAAGAGTTTTTCTACAATTTTTTCCTTAACTTTTACTTAATTCTTACTTCAACTTTGAGAGAAAAATCATGTTTTTTCTTCAAAGAATCTGCAGAAAGAAAGAGATCATCCAGGATTCTACAAAATAAAAATGCTCCTGACTTCTAGAGGAATTTTGGCCAATGAGAAAATTAAATAATTCTGAACAAAATGCCCAATATTTGTCCAAAACACTTGCTCAGAGTCTCAAGTGGTGTAGATTAAGGACCCTAAATTTTTACACATTTTCTATCCGATATTGTGTGATTTACCTCCAGGAAAATAATTTACCACAGCGAAAAACATTTCCAGCCATGAAAGTTTATGATGGGCAGTTTTTTTCCCCCAAAATCCCTCTTCTTCTCGTTTCCTCTGCATCTAAAGAAGCACAGTTCCATCTGATTTACGATCATTAATTTTTATTTTCTCAGGTTTCTCCTGCAAAGCTTGCCTTGAGGCGACATCTATCGCAAGAAAAACTGTCTCAGCCCAGCACTGGCTCTCACAGTACGATCCAGGTGGCCACCAGAACCATTGGTGACCTCGTCAACGGGGAAATAGAGCGAACACTAGAAATAAGCAACCAGAGTATCATAAACGCTGCTGTAGACAATGTGGTAAGTCATCAAAACTCTTTCCTCTTTTTCACTCTCAAAACCTTTGAGCCAGTCTGTAGTTCGAGAACTTCAAACTGTTGGCTGATTCCATCTGACAAAAAGTACCTTCAGTGACTCAAGATACTCGGTTTTTTCGTCACTTTAAAAATTGGTCCAGTCAATGAAATCAAATGTTTTTTTTTTTCAATATTATTTTTATATTAATAATCAAACTATTGACGCATTTATGCATATGAAGCACATCTATGTTGGAAGATTTAAGAACTAATCGAACTGTTCAAGGGAAGGATTAGATTTTAGCAGTAAAGATTGAAAGCTGGTCTAGGGCTAATATTCTGCTCAATAGCTACTGTTCAAAGAGACTTTTGCAGTGAAAAAAACATAACTAAGCCTAGAGCAATTGGAGGGTTTTTCTTGATGTTCTCATGCAGGCGGACTTGTTTCTTGTGAGACTGCTCTAGGTGAAAATCACATTACGCCAAAGAAGTCCATCTGCAGGATAGTCAAAAACCCTTACTGCCCCTTGCTTTTGATGGAGCCTTGCGTGATTTTTGCAAGTGCTTTTGTTCTCATTACTGCATTCGCCATTATTAATTCTGTGTTTCTGGCTCTCAAATATGAAAAGAAGAGAAGAATAAAATAAAATCCTTCCTCTATCTGCAAGGGAAAATCATTTTCTTTTCGAAATTTATTCACCGCCAACTTTTTGAACAGAATCAATGATATCTAACTTCATACTCTAATCTGATACCCTGTAGCTTGCTGGACATATTTTGAGTGAAATGTATTCTTCATCAGTTACGAGCAGCAAAGGGAAAGAGTCAAAACTTGTTGAGGCATTCAACAAAGTGTTACTTCAGTTTTTTAGCTTGCTGGCAGAATCAGCAATTTTTCGTAAAGATGGTGCAGGGTTAGACTATCTCTTTGTGGTCTCATTTAAATAAACAGAAATTTCAATGTTGCTCTAAAATTTTCTGGAGGGGTACATGTTCCCTCTTCAGAGCTCTGCCGGGACCATAACTATTCGGACAGGAACTTGCGTTGTTTGATATCCTCAAGCTTTTTTCCGTTTGCAATTCAGTAAATTAAAATTTCTCGCTCCTCTGAAATTTAGAAAGAATTACTAATTCTATGGTTCTCTCGGGTTTCTACTTTACGTCTTAGTGTCCAAATCCTGTTAAATTGGGAAGCATCGACATTTGTGTGATGACTTTTCAGGAAAATCAAGGAATTGGTGTTCAAAATGGCGAATTTTTTCTCTCTCCACTTTGTGACCCCTTTCTTTTTGACTTTCAACCCAGTGAACTGTGAAGAGTGAGCCATAAGACAATGAAATCAGCGCATTTTTAATCCGGACAGAGAAATCGTCACATTATTAATCTGGGCTCAAAATTTTGCTATAATTTGTCCCAAAACAATTTGGGGGAAAGTTGTAGAGAAGCCTGGACTGAGGAAATCTAAGAATTCTATACGCCATGAATTACCTTGAAGCTCCTCAACCTTTCACCTTTTCTCTATGAACTGATTGCGATTTGACGCACGCATTGTTTAGACAGAGCTGGCAAATTGCCCTTGTATGATTAATTCAGAATAAACTAAAATTCTCCCTACAGAATTGGATGAACTTTTTCGTCCTGTGATGAAAATTTTAGTTGACTCTGAATTTATTGCACATGGCACTTTTTTTCCACTATAACACCTGTTTAACTGATGTTATCCACCTTATGGCTGTTTCTGTGTTGGAACTAACTTTGAGATGATACTTTCCATAACTTCAGGTGTTGCCGGGCAACACAAGTAGCGGTGGTAGCAATCAGCGTGCCAAAGACAACAATGGGCGCGGCGGCAGCAGACAACACAGCTCGTCGCACCACTATAACCGTCCCCCCCACCAACTTTACTCTTCGAATAACCCCCAACAAAGGTCTTCCATTTTGTTTGCTCCCTCCTCCGCGCAAATGTCGACACAGGTACGTTTCTAGCACAGCTTGTAGGGTCCTTGCACACGAAAGAGTCAGTCAGTCGAAGCCGCAGGTCTGCCTGGCCATTCAAAGAGGGTCAAACTTCTTGTTTTTATACTTAAGACTGTTGTCTTTTAAATATGCATTTTTGCATTACCTATTTACCTAATAACATTTCAAGAAAACATTCATTTCTTTTTTCTTAAAGCTGCTCAGGCTAAAACAGCGCATCATCCCTTGTACATAACCTAACATAATAAAATTCTTTCATTCTCAAAATGTATGATTTTCTCTTAGTAAGAATCGTAGATTATAATTAACTCTGTTGAAATCAATGAACCTCTTGAATATGTCATCACCATTCATGTAACACTTTTATCAGAGTGAATCCCTTGTTTTTCAATTTTAAATCTTTTTATATTACATTTACTGAATGAAAAGTCTTAAATTCATGTTATTTTCCTAAAGCTCCTAAGATTAAAGATTCAGCCCTCTGGCATATTTTTTACAGTCTGTGAGATAGTTGACTAACTCAATCGTGTGCAGGAACTCAAGCCTGCTTCGCAAAGTTTGCTGTCCAGAAGGAAATGCTTTCGCCAAAAATTGTAAATACATTTAAAAACAGTGTGTCGTACAGAGTAGCTGAAACAAAAGAAAATTTAGCAAACTAGAAACTACTCTGTCAATGAGTAGTTAACAGGGTGTCTACAGGTTTGAAAAACTGGAATTGTCAGGGATTTTCAGTAGATCAAGAAAATCAGGGAAGCACTATGGAATTTTATGAAAAAGTATGGAATAGTCTGTAACGGAATAAGTTTAAATAAGGAATTCCAATTTTATCTGACAAATGATTAATACCGGGAAGAAGCAGCTTCATGTATTTTTATCATTCGTAGTCGAATTAATATCTAAAATCGTTCATTTCCAGTTCTACGCATGCAAATTGTCAATGCGAGAAGACAGAGAATTCTATTTCTTTTGGTTTGCAAAAATATAGGAAAGTCTGAGAATATTTTTCTCGCTGAGTCTGTAGACATCCTGGTCAGTAAAGAATCGCGGAATCATCAGGAAATTAAAACATACTAAGGAATTTAAAAATCTTGAGTCTAATTTATGGAGGGTTGTGTATTAGGCGGCAGAAAATATTTAGCATTTTTAGCTCGCAGCAAATGGCTTTATCTTTAAATAGCAATTTTAGTTTGAAAAGTCAGGAAATTGTTGAAAAACAACAGGATTTTTTATTTGAAGAATTACTTGGCACTCTGTTGTACACCATATTCCATTACAATCTTTGCAATAACCGCAATGCTTGACTAACAATGCACCAGCACTGAAAAGCAGATTTCACTGAAAGAAACAGTTTCATTTAATTTTTCAAATGTTCACCTGAAACTGGAAATTACATGGCCTTTGTCCTCACTTGTAAGATCGTAAGGACATATTTTCGCCATCCTCCTGAGCTTTAAATTTTAAGGTTCCTGAATGATCTGAAATGCAGTTTTCCGTCCTTCGTTTACAAATCGGCCCCAATACCATTTTATAATCCTGAGTTTTGACTACTGTTGAAAGTACGAAGGAAGTAATTCGATTAAATACACCATGCAAACATTCAAAGCTTGAATCAAAGTTTCCATCTCTGTCAAAACTTACGGAGTTATACACTACCTGTTTCTTGGAAAAATAATTAAGCTTGGCTGATCTTTCTCGTCAAGGTGATATATATGCTTGGCTTCAAATTTTCAAATTTGCACTGAATTTAACTGCTAAATTTCTCTTTTCTCTCTCTCTCTATTTTGATCTTTGACTACTGATAAATATCTTTGCATCATTTTGAAGTTTTTTCCTGTATTGTCAGGAAAATTTCGGCTCTTAAGCTGCAGGGAAAATGTTATGAAACTTTTTGGGTAATATGAGAAAGGTTTCTCTTCAATGTAAGGCCTTCAGAATTTAACATCTTCTTCTTTAGAATTTGAGAAACAATGAATTCTGACATAGGTCTGAATTAATTCAGAAGTGGAAAAAAGAACGGTTGAAATTTAATTCAATCAAAATTGTATTTTCTCCTATAAGGTGAAGACAAGATTTTAGGAGAGATGAGGATAGGGGGTGAGAGACTCGTTTTGGAATTGACTCTGAATGGGGGGGGGGGGGGGGGGGGGGAGGCAGCAAAATTCCATCACGCCACAGCTAAAGAGTGGCTCCTAAATTTATTTTTGGGTTTGATTGGAGTTTTAAGGGAACCCTTGCAATTCCTTAGTTTTCAAGACGTTTTGTCTATATGCATTCAAAACCTTGAACATTCCATCTTGGCGATCTGATTGATAATCATTAAGTTCCCCATACCAGGCCAAGAAAAAATAATCGCAAACAGCATCAAGTAATGCAATAGAAGAAGTTAAAAGGTGAAAGCAGATGCTGGAAGAGTGGATTCTAAAAAAGTAGAATCTTGAACCGTATCAACCAGCTGATAAATGTTTGAAAAGCGGTTGAGCTGCATATTGCATCTATTTGTAATTATGAGTGACAAAAACGTGAGCCAAAGATGCATATTTTTCTTGAAAATTTTATATTTCTGGTGCTAACTGAGGTACCGAAATGCATTAGCACCTGAAAAATAAAATCGTAAAACATTTTTTGCATCTTTAGCTCACGTTTTTATCACTCATGATAAATATTTCTTATGTTCTTAAGAGTCTCCACTTCCAAGTATCGTTGACAGTGAATTTAAATATCTGCCATGGTTACTTCCCTGCAAAAGTGATTTTCATGCACCAGATGAAATTTTTCTCCAGGCTTAAAAACTGAGTTCAATTAGACTGTGTTTGTAAAATTGGACTTCATTTTCCCATTCGGAACTACAATACAGCTCAGTTTAGAAAAAATGTATGCACCGTTAGTTTCCCTGTGTACATAAGTGTTTTTATGGATGATTCAGCAATGTAGTACTTAATCGCAAGATGAAGTCCAATTGAAGCTTCGAAGCTCATGAGGGATAGTCAGTTCCTATTCACTTTCTATAACAAAAAATGTTTCTAATTGTTTTTCCTTAAATTTCTTCTTTCAGCAACAAGGTAAACCAAGGTACACTCCTGTTGAGCTGCCACGAGCTGAAATGAAACCTTACCATGAATCCTATTTCAGCGATGCAGTTGTCCCGAAGGAGGAACCGCCTGTCGAAGGGTAAATATCTAGTCTGTTCATCTGCATTGAGTTCAGTAGAATGTCACCAAGCCAGTCAAAATTGAGAGGAAGGTTTTCTAAGTTTACCTCCTTCATAAGACTTCATTTAAAAAATTAACTTGAAATCATGGTGTCAAAAACAGGAAAAATCGGGATTCATCAGGGAATGATAATTTACAAGGAAAATCAGGGAAAAATTAGAGGATCTGTTCCAGAAACCAGGAATCTCTTCCTCTACCGCTTAGTTATTATTTTGTTTTCAAAGCTGACCGTGCACTATTATTGACTCCTCGAATGACATATTTAAAGCTTCAAATCATCAAAAGGATGGAGTTTCATTGACCAGATAAGATAAACATCAGGAACGGTATCGGAATTAAAATTTTGAATGTGTGCCAAAGAAATGGCCTAAAGATGAAGTAAAATCGATATTCATACATGGAACTCTGGAAAATTATATTCTTCTCTCTAGATTAACATATTCAACGTCTTTAGTAAAATTTAAACTGATATTTAAGGAACTGGAAATAAAATCATTCTACATTCTGATGATTTAGAATAGCTTTAGGTTGAAAATAAATATGACGTAGCCCCATGCACATTCTGAAACGCAGTTTTAACAGTAGATATCTTCGCATATGCCAATCCAAAAATTACTGGTAGTGCAATTTTAATTTCAGAATTTTCAATCAATTCTTTTTTAAATTTGTCCAAAGGACCACTAGACAAGATCTAAAGTAGAAAGAAATGGCACATGTTTTCTCTTCAAAATCTCATGTAGAAAACAATTTTTACAACAAGAAGTTCGGAAGTAAAATCCTAAGCAAGATATTAACAAGTACTTCAAGACAAATCAAATGGAAGGTAGATTATACAAATGACGTCATCTTTAATTTTGCATTTTCACCAATGTTAACTGTGAACACTCATAGCATGTTCAGTAGTTGATTTCTATACTTCCAGTTGCATAAATCGATTTCTATGAAAGATTATAGAGGAAATATCTTGCGCAGTGTTTTAATTCATATCTTATCTAGGAGCCCATTCTATTGAAGATTCTGTTTGATTTAATGAACCTTTTATCTCAAGTTAGTATTACTAAATGCATGTGGTTTGCCTAGATTGGCAGCAACGCTACAAGCACGAATACTCCACGGTCAGGGAGACGACAACATCAAACAGGAGGATTCGTCGAGCGGCTACATGGACGGCAAAGGGGAGGTGGACAGTCACCTCAAGCGGCGATGCCCGTCACCCTCGAGTCTGAACCGGCCGCCCATGAAAAAACAACACCTTTCGCATGAAATGATCTCAAACCGACAAACCGAAGATGGTAAGCGCATATTTCTACTGTAGTTTTTGTTTTTCAATTGAGTGTAACTCAGGTGAGTCAATATTCTTTACTTCCTCGTAACTGGTAGTGTCCCAATCATTTCCTGAAGTAAATCGTCACCCAAACGTATTTTTATGGGTTCGTTCATGTGATCAAATTGTTTATAGTGATCTTTTGTTATAGATGTTCAAATTAATAGAACGCTTTCATGATAACAAGCAATTCATGCCTGCCAAAATCACTGTTCTTAATGACTGCAGCTTCTAAGTTCATGACTAAGAAATTTTTGCTGTTGGCACCAGTGCTCTTAAAAAAATGCAACTGCCTAACTCAAAGTTGAAATCCTGGTGCTGTCTCCTCTCGAGCACAAGTCATGACAAATAGGTATAAATCAAAAGACAGCGCAACAGGGTGTCTATCATCAGGAAAAATCGGGCAATATCAGGACGTTTGAAGTCATCAGGGAAAAGAAAGAAAATATCAGGAAAATCGGTCATAGATCAGGAAATTCCTAGTGCGTCAAGCATTTTTCAATTACATGCAGTTTAGATCATGCAAAAGTGAAGCAAATTACTCAAAACTCAGGGATTGTCCTTTAAAATATAAAAACAAACATCAGGAAAATCCGAAGTAAACTCTAAGTAGACACCCTGCGCTACTATTGTTCAGGAATAGAGAGGACATCTCTGTTTGTCTGTAAAATTAATAGTAATTTCTTTTTCTATCATTTGGGAACAGATTAATACCATCATCACAATCGCAATTCAGGTGGCATCCAGTAGTTTGATCACATGAAACTAGAAATGAAATTAATTCTATTATTGATTGAGTTCTTTGGTTTTTCCCCTCCTAAAAACAAAAGCCACTATCTTTAACAAGTAGTCTAGTTTTCTTTGTTGATGTTAGAAGGCAACCTTCCTTCTTCTCTTTTCTGTTTTGTCTTAAAACCTGAAATGTGAGCGGCAGTTTCCTCAAGGATAAAAGTAATGGTGGCAGCAATAATTCCTTTTCTTTCTGTCTGTAACCAAAGCTTAGTTCTTATCCAGTCTATTTCAATTTTCAATCGTGGACTGACAAAGAATTTTATCAATTTACACTCATGAAAATGGAACTAGATGGTACGCTGAGCATACAGATGAGTGGTACTTTGAGAGCCATGCCGAACGCAATACGCACAGAAACCTCCCTCTAATTGTGAAAGTTGACAAACGAATATGTTAGTTGTGGTGTTTCTAGATCTCCACCTCTGTTTCAATTTTTCGAAGAAAAGCAGGTAGATGCTGTTTTTGCTCATATAAGTTAAGGAATAATGAGTGAAAATTCTGTTAACTAGTTTTCCGTTGAAAAAATGAATTTTTGTGAACAGATATCTGTGACAGCATCTGTGACAAAGGACCTTGTCTTCCTGAAAAACAATTTCCTTAAATTTTTGCAAATGCATGCCGGGAGAAAATATGGAAATTTCGTGGCATGTTCGACTCGAAGATCCCTAAAATTGAAGAAGATATTACTCCTGATGTCTCAAGACAAGAATTTTCAGGCTGTAGAAGAATGTTGCGTAATAGTTTGCAAAAAATTCAAGGAAAATTTTCTTCTGGAAGATGGAGTCCATTTTCTCAGATGAAGTCACGTATTTGTTTTTCAACTTTCACCATTTGAAAATGCTCAGCCTAATTTCGCAAGTCTGGCATGAAGCTCATCGAATTGCCTGTCCTGATGCTTCACGTATTGTCCGAATGCTCCTTCATGCCTGCTTCTCGCTAAATTTTGTTTTAATCCACCTAACGTCATATGACACCGCAATAGATTCTCGATTCTCAGTCTCCTCCACTTGCAAAACTACTATTTAAAAAAAAAGATAAAGACATAGTTAAATGTAAATAAACTTAAATCTAGTATACTAAAAATTAATTCTCAACTCGTAATTTTCATGCTCATTAAAGTTCCCTCCTCATTGCTTATTTGCTCCCTTTAAATTTCCTTTTTCCACTGATGATATCATCATTTGCTTCCAAAGAAAGCCTCTAAATTTGAAGAAATATGAACAGCATTTGTCCATGAAAGTATCTTGTTGAAGTACTTTTTATATTAATGAATCTTGTTTTTATTTTTCCAAATTGTGTACTATTTTCGGATATTGATAACTCTTCAGAACTATGATTCAAGGCTACCATATCGATGGCTGAGATGCCAAACCAGGTTTCTTCATTGTGGTGTTGAAAAATCTCTGTTTCTATTTCATTTTTTTGAAGAGAAGCAAGTCAACGATATAGCTTGAAGATTCTATGGAATGTTTCGCTGATGGAGAAGAAAAATCAAGAAAGTCTTCAAGAAATATGGTTGACAAGTTTTCCGAAGAAAAAATCAAGTATGATAAGAAGTCTGGAACATCGCACACTGAGAAATGTCGATTTGCTTTTTGCCATTGATATTATCTGTTTTGCATAAAAGTTTTGATTTGTCAAGAATTTTTACCTTATCAACATGAAACACTTAAAGTCCGTTTGAACACCACCATTCCCCAAAGCAAATCACTAAAATTCAAGCTTCAAAGAAATGGCAGTTGAATTGGATTCCTTAGGTAACAAGAGACCTTCAACCAAGAGGAATGCATAATCTCTGGGTTTGAAAACAAAATTAAAAATTTAGAGAGAGCCATTGATGTAATTTCATTTTTCGAGTCAATTTATTCTGTCGTGATCTCTTTGAATAAGTGAGTGTGAAGCATATCAAGCAAAGCATTTGGTTACAAATTAATAAGTTAATAACACTAATACCTTTACAACAAATTTCGGTGATTTTGAAAGATGGAAGGTAAAAAGTCATAATTCTTAGTGGCTCCCTCTATGAGCAGTTAAACTAGATTTCTTTTCATTATTTCCGGAATCAAGTAAATTTTTTCGTTTTTAAATATTAGAGGGAAAGTGGCAAATGGGCCTTTTGCAAGGTAGGGGAATTTATGAATTATCAATAGCTGGTTCTGGAAGAAAATCTCTTGTCAAGAGCATTCTTTAAAATCTTGAAATCCCCTCGCAAACTACAGAAAAAAAGAAAACTGTATTGAAACTGACCGACCTACTCAAAATGCTCCCCTCAGGATGGGAACAGCACACTTGCTATGTCACAGCACATTGCAAACCTGGTTTTTTCATCATCTACAGTGTATTTTTCCGTTTGCGCCGAATTGGCAGCTGCTTTTCAAATGCCAATTTTAAGACAGTGTAGCAAGCTTTCTGGACCCGTACCCATCCAAAAGTGACCGTTTTGAAAGTTCAAATTTTAGGACGTTTTTAAGTTGTTTTTGAAAGTTTCCAGTGGTCAAAAACCGCTGAAAAAATTCCTGTGACACCTAGAGCCTGAATTTTTTCAATACAAGCAACTTTAAACCCAAAAAAGGAAGAGAAAAGAAGAAAAAAAAGAGAACTACAGACAATTATATTAAGAATTTGTTTTTCATCGCTGAAACTAAAAATTATGGGTTCCTGTTGATTTATTGCTTGCCTATCTGAGAAGGATGTCCTGTTTAAAATATTCCCGTCAAATTATATTCTGTTTGGGTTGATATGTGTGTGTGTGCGTATATGTGTCTTCAATCATAGATCTCAGGGTGTAAGTTTTTTTCTTTTAGATATCTTTCTTCTCTGTTTGTGTGTTGTGTGAGTTACGGTCCATTGCCACTATTTTTTTATGTTAAAGTAGCTCCATCTCTGAACCGTTATTTTTTCATCTGTGTCTCTGCGTGGGAATTTCATAGCCTTTGTGAGATGGGTTTATTTTTAACAAGTTTTTAAGTATCTATAGAAGGAAAATCCCTGTTTACGTTTTCAAGTACGATTTGAGAACTGCTTCCGTCAGCCATCGATCCCTTCTTACAGTTCTTCTGTAGTGGCTTTTTGGGCACTAAAAAATGGAGTACACTACCTCCATCCAAGTGTCCAGAGAGGGCTTTGCTTAAGCATTGAATTTTCCCTATCAGAAATTTCCTATTTTCCCTTTCCTTTGCGTTCTCCTAAAGTAGGAACAAAGCTTGAAGCTAACTTCCTATTAAAAGTTAACAAAATTTAAAAACTTTATAACTCTTGTACCTCCTATTGACCTATCAAAGTTTTTAGTGTCCAAATGAGTTTTCAGTTTTTACGATGTTTCTAAACTCTAAGCCTTTTACCGCGCACAAAGATTTAGACTTCTGAAACTGCCCTCTAAAAAATATTACAATAAATAAGAAAAAGCCAACCTCGAAATTATCGCTTCTCTCACTTCGTCATTTCTCATACAAAAGAACTTAACTACATCTCAACGCTGCAAAATTGTCCCTTGCTTAGTACAAATTTAAATGTCCAATGGAAAGTACCCTATTTTTCTTCTGATAATGGGCAAAAATAAGACAAATTTTTGACGAAAACCTGCGAAGTCATAACTGTGTGAAGAATTTAACTGTTTAAGATGAGGTCGCAACCTTGGAATAGAGTTGGGTTCCTTTGTCTGGGAAACAATGATGCGTCATATTGTCTGTGTCGCTATGTCAAAAAGCATCACAGCATAAGTTGTGCAGTGTAGACTCTTGCTATTGTAGATAAAATGGACCAAGCTCAATCTGGTGTTATCAATGCTGAAAGGATTCGAGAAAAAAGGATTGATTGTTGCCTTTATGAATTTTGTAGCTCATCGAAGATTATGACTGTTGTATTTTCAGCCCTAAGGACGCATCATCAAAAAATAATGAGTCAAAAAAATTAAGTATTTTTGAATTTTTCTGTCCTGGTTTTACTCAGCCACTTGATTGAATTTTTATTTTAAAGTCTAAAGTCAATCTAATTTATAAAACTGATTGGTCGTATTTTATTTTTGACTGTCGGTTTTTGTTTCCCTTGTTTGATTCTTTTTTTTTACTCCTTTCACTTTACTGCCATTAATTAATTACTGAACACAAAATGAAGCATCAAATCCTACTTATTCACTGCTTCTGGAACTAATGGACGAATCATCTTGGGTATCAAAGCTTTTTTTGAGTTCTCTCAACAATTCTGTCACCAGTAGTAGAGAGCGAATCTATGTCTGCCATTGAATATCCAGAATTTCTAAAAAAGAAGAAGAAAAAAAATCACCATTGCTCGTGTAAATTGAACAAAAAATTAATGAAGGAACATGTATGAAGGATGATAAATCGGTAGATTTTCAGACTTGATCTTAGATGCTTCAAAGAAACTTTTAAGTAGTCGCTCACAAGCTTTTTTACGAAAGAATTTTCTGCCATTAGATACGTAGTCATTAGTGGATTATTTATGTCCAGTCCTCGGAAGTCTTAACAAAATTAGCGAAATATATGCCTGTTTCAGTAGTGATTTGTGCCATTTGTTTTTCACTTAAATTCACAGAAAGTAGTTGTAGTTGTATCAAAATGGAAAAGCCATTTCTAAATATCAAGGGTCAGTCAATGTGAAGCTGATGGTAGGCATGTATTCTTGTTGTTGTGACTCCGTATTGTTTTCAAGTCTTAAGTGCAAGAAAAAAGAGGAAGGAAACAAAGTCCGAATCGGTAGTATGACATGTTTTGTCCGAGATTTACCTAAAAATATGGTCTTAGTATCAAAATTTTAACAAGACCTGGAGCTTTTTGTTTTTGTTCAAATAAAATTTGTTTTTCATGAAATTTTGTAAAATTAAATTCAAAGAAATATGGCTCATAAGGAACAGATAATTCTCACAGAGAAGGTAAAAATTTGCATTCTTAAACTATCGAAGTAACAGTGAAAAACAGCTTTCAAATGTACATGATGAACCATCAGTTCAAAAGTAAATATTACCCAATTTCTTCTCTAATTTTGAAATTCTGTGAAGATTTTAAGCATTTTTAATTTCTACTGATGACAAAACAGGGTAATCCCCCAGAAAATTCACCTCCTACATTTCATCAATGATAAAAATTTATTTCTTTATAATCCGACCAGTTTGATCTTGAAAGAAGACGCTCAAAAGATACTGTAGTTGTTGCCTTTGTATGAGGGAGATATCTAAGTTTTCAAGGCTATCCCAACATGTTCAGGGTCAAAAACCAAGTTGATTTTGAATGCATGGCTGTTTTTGTTGCTTGTTGTAATGCACGCTCCCTGTAGGTTTGTCTTTTATCTTTCTTGCCAGGCACGATCCAATCGTCCATGATGCATCCTTGCGCGAACAAACCATTCCACCCTAATAGCATCTCTGTGCGTGGCACCTGACACAACGCCAAAAGAGGTAAGTCGCTCAGCGCCTCAATATTATTAACGAAGCTCTAGCTTTGGCAAAAACTTAGCCAGGAGCTGAATTTGTAAACCCATTTTTGATATTATCCCTCAGTCCTAAAGAAAGGCACTAAATTTAATCATTGAAAAATTTTTGGCGTGTCAAATTATGGATGCTTGACACATGCCACAATAATCGGATGTCACTAAGGAAATGAGATCTATCTTCATGGACATTTTGGAAAAGGCGCTCAGCAAAATAGATCTTTTGTGAGTGAATAATGTTTTTTGAAAACTGACCCTGTCTTTAGATTCCATATTCGGAATGATATCAAATTGTTGTGTGTCCTACCAATTTTTCTTAACTTGTCTGTGGATGGAGTTTGCTTGCATTCAAGTAACTTGCGAGAAATATTTTTATTGCTTCTTATATTTTTGTCCGCCTGCGTTTGGTGGCATAGTTTAAATTTCTCTATCAGATCATGACATTTTTTCAAGGTCTTCTGTGTGGGAATTGATTTTTGGGAAGGGGATGTCAGCAAAATTCTTCTCTTTAGTTTTATTCCATTGTCTTTAATATTCGGCATTTTTACTGTTTTATCTCATTTCAAATTCTTAAAGCAAGCTTTCCCAGGTTTTTTTTATTTTTATTTTTTTGTGCTTGCTGTATTTGTTTGATTCATGTATTCGTTTGCAAAATTTCTAGTTTGCTCTTTCTAAGAAGTATGTAATTTTGTTTACCTGTTAACTCAATCAATTTTTAATTATAAAATTATATTTCCCTTTTTTCGTATTTATCGTTCATTCTCATGGTGTATTATACCTTATTGAAACTTCTAAGATTTTTGCCCATTTTCCAGTTGATTTCTTGGTTCATGCAGAATTTCTGTCCTAGTTACAGTTTTATTTCAATGCAATCCTCAAATTTATCTTTTCAATGATGCACTTGTCACATTTATTAGATTTATTATGCATTTAGTAACTGGAAATCTATTTTTTTATTGCCTAGAGTTCACGTTATTGCACCTAAGTCGCCATTATCGACCTTTTGTATCACATAATTGAATCCTCAAATCATCATAGTGATAGAAAAGCTTCCATTGACCAGACAATAGAAACATTAGAGTCGCTTTGGGAATTCAAAATTTGAATGTGCCCTAAAGAATTAGCTGAAAGATGAAAGAAAAATGGGTATCTAAATCTGACACTCGAGAGAACTATACAGTTATTCTCTAGAAAATCTTGGGGCCGTGGTAGAGCCCTTCGGTCTCTTATCAGGGAATCAACCTCTTCAAATCAGGGAATCAACTTCTTCAAATCAGGGAATGATCATCGTCTAGAATTCTAGACACCATGTTTTTTTTTTGTTTTTGTTTTTGTCACTGAAATTTACATCAATACCTTTACAATGAAAAGAGAGACATAGATGGGAAAACACTAGGAAGAAAATATGGTACTTTAAGCAGAAGAAGGGGGGCTGTTTGAGAGAAAACGACGACCTAATAAAGATTAGGCCATGAAGGAATTTCAAGACTCGTCAGTGACTCAAAATTGGACCGAGTTCATCAGAAAGGAACCAACTCACATTATGTCAAAACTGAGAAAAAAACGTTTAAAGTTTTATTGCTGCATAAGGCTCAATGGAGAAAATAAACTTTAACCCTTCTTTTCACAAACTAATTTCTTTCTTTCGACTTTCAGATTTTGGCAGATTTCGGAACGACTTGGTGAACTTGAAAACATCCCTAACTCAATTTTTTCGATAATGTGGGTTGGCTCCTTTCTGATAAACTCAATCCAATTTGCCTATTGGCATTCATGGGTAGACATCATTTAAATTATTCCCATTTATAATTTTGTACTAGAGTGCTTACCAAGTGTCTTCTTTGTTTGTTGGACAGTTCTGGACAAGTGGCAGGACAAGATAAGCAGCGGCTTCGACAGACTGGTCGCCTTCGCGTCGACAGAACTGGACAAGCGAAGGCGCAGCACTGAAGGCAGCGTTGTCAACGGGACCTGCAACGGCGGGCTGAGCGCCAACACAAGTCCAGACTCGGGCATCAGTCAATGCGATGCCCCTGCCGCACCTCCCCCTCGCCTCTATCGGCCGGACTCTCCGTCGTTGGAGGATCCTCCCAGAACTCCGTCCCCTTCCTCACCACCTCCACCGTTGTTACCCTACTCGCCTGCGCCCTACTCTCCAGGACCCCCACCCTCCAGTCCACCTCTCTTACCGCCCTCGGTCCCTGTCGGAGAAAGCGACCGTCACTTCAAGAAGAAGTTCTTCCACAACAAGAAGTTTCGACCCAAGGGCAAATGGGATTGGCATAACGTTCAAGAAGAGGGTCAAGAGTGGTGTTGATCAAGATCGAATCATCAATGAATTTTCAGTAATTTAAGCGACGCTCTCTGAGGTGTTGAAGTAATGCGTGAAACGATATATTAAAACCAATCCATTTCTTTTCAATTGACTGAATTTTCTCATAGTTTTTTTAAAAAAAAAGTATAGCCAATTTTCACTTTTCTCAACTTAGTATCGACATTTTTTAATAGCTCGCTTTTTCTGCCTGTGCTCATCACAGTAATATCTTGTTGATTTCTCTGAAATTTGCTGGTCTTACAGAATTCAAAGTTAATCCGTAGTTCTTTAAGCCATTCTAATCCTCCTCATTCTTCTCAAAGATCAGTAATTTTAGCCTTAAATGTAATTTCTGTGCAGGCTTTTTTTTAGTATCAAAGCTACTAAATCAGTCTTAAGCCTGTTGGCAACGTGGATTTCTTAAATTTTATTGAATATTGGCCTTTTATGAAACTAAGTATTTTGCATTGTAATGACAGTTAATGCTTTCGAAATCTGATGAAGTGAACAAAAGTAGAATTTTCATCATCACTGACCATTAATCATCATCAATTTTAATGCGACACCTTTAATCGCTCGAAGCTGTGTTAGAAGATTATCGAATCAAGAATTTTGAAAAATCTGAGTGGCAGGCCTGGACTTGTGGACAACCATTAAGAATTGATACTGTTTTTTTTTTTTTTTTTTCTTCGTAAAACGAGACCTTCTTTATCTCTTGTTAAATTTTTTTGCCCGCGAGCTGTATTTTTTCGAATCTCTCGGTCATTCGATTTGTTATTGCTTTGGAAAAGACTTTTTATTAATGCAACTCGATTTCTCGTTCCCAAGTCTGGTGCCTCTCCTGAATCAGGGCCTGCGTCTCGCACGAGTTTCTTCAGATATGAACAGACAAGTGAAAGTGTGTCTTCATTTTTAATACTTGACTCACCGCAACCAAAAGTTATGCATGAAAGTTTACAAAGTGGATGAGCTTGATGTTTAATTTGTTCTGACCGAACCAAAGTGCTCTTCAACTCCAAGTTACCTCTCGTTTTTGGTAATTTTTAGAAATCAAGACTCAAATTTTAAGTTTGCAAGTGAGTTTTCTCTCTCGGCATCTAGTTAATTATATCTAGCCATTTATTTTACAAAGCAGTGTTTTATGAAACCAGTGTTAGCTGTAATTTGTAAACTAGTATCAATATTTATCGCAATTTTAGAGCAATTCTTTTTTCCTCGTCAAATATAAGAAGGGATTCCACACACAGAAACCCTTAATTTTTTTCTTTGGGGTTCAAAAAACAAAGGCGTGAACAGATAGACAAGATCTGTTCAAAATAGTTCTATTCTTATTTCTTCCTTAACTTACAGACGAATTTCAAGGCTTACAATGAAATGATGAAATTTAGACGTAATACAAGGAATCATCATTTGTGATTGGGTGAAGTGAATCAGTTTTCATCATACCAGATAATTTCTGATTTTAAAGTAGATTTGTTTTTTCATGCAAATCTGCTGAGAAGCAATTTGCAAAGGAAATCTCACCAATAAGAGTATCTTGGTGTCCTTGTTCACCAGCGCACTTTGTGTGCATGGATAAAACAGCCTCCATATTATTCTTATGCTTCCACATCAGCTAGGATTAAGGGATATTGCTCTAAATGCTCGTTCCTCTCAGAATTAATCGTGTACCCCTCCTGCCACTAAAGAAATTTTTTGGGATTTTCTCATTCTCATGTACAATCTTATTAAATCTAAAAACATGAAAGGTAACTTTTGCTAACCGACAAATTCCCAAAAAAATTCTACCACTTCTCCTGGCATGGTTGAAACATGCAAGGATGCGTGGATTCTATTTAATTTCTTTTCTACTAATGTTACGTTCTAAGTGTCTGCTCTTATTAACGAACTCAATGTTTATTTGTACTTCTTAGTATCCATACCTTGTTATCAATGATGTTGTCAGTGTCATCATCGTTATATATTTAGCGTAAATTTGGGATTCACGGATGAATGATGCATGAAATTTTTTAATGTAGTATCAACCCAGAAAATTCAAGTCTTTTTTTCACCTTTCTTTTCATATCATTTCATTTTAACCTCCGAAAATTTTTGCTCAAGCATTTTGTCAAAACTTTCTTCTTTTATTTAATTTGTTTTACCTGTGATTCTTACGCCTTTTAAAGCTAGTGTCACTTTACTCAACTAGACTTCATTTTGCAATTCCAATTAGAAACTACAATATCTGACTCATTATTGTAAAAGCTTTTACCCTCTTGTGGAAATCAATGGCATTTATGTTGTTTCTAAAGTGATCCGGAAATTTTAGTTCCTGATTGCCAAATGTCCAACTTACCCTTTGTCCAATACTGTCGTGCCAATGAGGAATGCTGTAAGAATGAGTTCATGTTGCAAAATTTCTTATCACAAAATAATTATTTTAGAGATAAGCCCCAAATATTTTTCTCTGAAATTTTGATAGACTTAATAAACCTGCGAAAAAAAAAAGAAAAGTATATATGTGTTAATTCTCCAGAAAATTCAGTTGTCAGCAGCTGAGTTTTGGTAATGTTTGAGTGTTTTTACAGCATTTCACCACCGCACAGCAGAGAAGAGAAGGGTTTAGGACCTATTAACTGGAATACATTTTGCAATCAGGAACTACAATTTCTGGCTCATCTGCAAAAACGCTTGTGTGTACAGGGGAACTGATGGCATAAATGTTGTTTCCAAATTCAGCCAGGAATTGTAGTTCCTGATTGCAAAACGGAGATCCTTGCTGGTTAACAACTCTGGGTTTTGTTTGATTAAATGAAACTGAAACAGTTAATTTGTATAACAGCTACATCATCTAGATTCAGTCACTCTAAATAAATTTAAAGAGAGAAAAATGTGTTGCCAGCTTGGCAGAATCCCCCCCCCCCCCATGTAAAAAGGAAAAAAGAATGCACTGTGGCAGTAAATGAGTCCGCGAGATGTTAAATTAATTTTGGATACAGTCATGCCAAAAATGAAGATCCTCAGAGGGCTTTCTTTGAATTTTTGAAGGTCTTTTCAAGATTTTGAACGGAATTTTTTAGGTTTTTACTGAATGATCAGATGTATGTTTGAGTCTATTGGCCACATCAGTTATGAAAATAGGAAAGTATTTTTCTAAATTACTGTTTTTTAAAGCTTCTGACCATGTCTTATTGCCTGGATAGGAAGTCAAGCCACACAATTGTAAGATCTTCCTGGAAAAAATTTTGCTAGAAAAAGCATAATATGTTTCAAGAACAATTATATAGTTGGTGCCTACTCTTTCAAGTCTCCGAACATAAAATTTACCATGTAGCTATGTTTCTACTTTTAGTACTTTTATCTTAGTTTCAGCCTTGTTTCAGAAAGAAATTTGATGCAAATTGTGTTTGTGTATGATTTTGATGTAGTGAAAAACGTTGACCTCAGATATCAGAGGAACATTGTACTTCTTTGGGAATAGCCAATTAAATTAGCATCCAGGCGAATTTCCATGAGAGGATTTGGTTCATTTTAGAGCCACATTTCACAGAACTGCCAATTGAGGCAGGAAAACTTTTGCTAGAAGTCGAGAGCTGAACTTTGCGGTACGATAACTTGCGCCAATGTTTAGCTCCACCCATCGCACGACCCTCTTCGGGAGGTGGTTGAGAATTTTGATATGGTGGTCAATGCTGCCAACATGAAGTCCAAATGTTGTAGGCACACCGTCGCTGGGAGGGAGTTTCGTTTTGTTGTAACAGAGGTTGGCTGTATATAAGAAATTTGAATGCATCCTCTCGTGTAAATTCGTCTTCTGTGTCCAGAAAACAGAATATCTAGTCAGTGCATGTTTCTTGATGGCAAGATTATTAGCAAGTGGCTTGAATGAGTGATATCTATTTTAAGAAGAACTGTTGAGCGTTTGAAATCTGAGATCGGGTCATCAGCAATTAGATGGATCAGCCGGGTCAAAATCTTAGTCTAATTTTTTATCTTCTTTGAGTCTCTGCTGGTAATCGTGCTTTTATAAATGTCAGTTTTCTGCTCGCAAGTTAAAGAATTTTCTTGCAACTCATCACCTTTTCACTTGCTCATAAATAGTGTTTTCTTATTTTACCAAGTTTTGTATCAGCCAGGAAGGTTACCAATGGCCTCCATTAAAAATTGCAGTTTTTAGAAGTCAATCTTTGAAATTATCCTAGCGTCATCATTCATTTTTGCAATCTGATGGCTGCTGAAATACAGCAGGCAAACCGGAAAAAGAGACCAAGCTGTAGCAAAATTCATAATTACTGGCGGTGTCACCACCTTAAACGTCATTTGTAAGCTCCCTGGTATTGAATATCCATGGCTGAGCTATGGAATTACGTATCTTAGTCAGTGCATTCTAAACTTCTTTTCATGAGGTATGCTTTAGTTTAACGTCTAATCAACGGCATTTCTGTGAATTTTCTGCCCTGTGTAGAGAGTTTTCTATGGAGATTTCTAGTGATGGTGTATTAGTTCTCCTTTGAAAAAATTCAATTACAGGATAAATTTTAAAGAACTGCAATTGAGATACTTGGTTTCAAAGTTTGGTGATGAATGTGTTATTGCAAGTTTAATTATTTAAGCTTACAATCCAGTTTCCAGTTTTTTTGTACGGAACTCTGGAGCAAATGCTAATCTGGAAGATCTTCTATGCGTCGCTTTTTGTAGCATTATCCTTTAATATGAATCTTCACTGCCATTAGAACTATTATCAACGATCTAGGATGATATTTTAAGTCTAGACAATTCTCCAGGTTCTTCAGGTGCAAGAACCTATTTGTACAATCAGTTATCTTGTACAGAGTGCAATAATTTATAATCCAATTCTTCTTTGTCACTGCCTTTAATTTATCTGTTCTGTCAGCCAGCAGTATTGTTTCTACCATTATTGCACGACATCTTACAACTGCCCTCTGTGGGGAGGACGTGCAGTAAAATGCAGGGTATTTACTAAATATATCTGAAGGATATTAATTTTTTGCTTCTTGAGGAGACCTGGAAATATTGGCCAACTAATTCTAATTTGCTCTTGCAAGGTCCAAACAATGATTAAAATATGTTTAATTTGTAATTGATGGGGAGAAAATTACAACAGGCGATTTTTCCTGTGATTTGCTTGAACGTAGAAAAGTTGTTCACGAATTTTTTGATTAACCAATATTTCCCTTCTTCGAATTTTTCGCCTCAGATTCTTTTTCGCAAATCAAGGGCCAAGGAACAATATTACCCAACTGACAGTTTAGAAACAAAAAAAATTAGAGAATCTGGTGCATTCTACAGTGTAAATTACGCAAGCTGATGTTATTTATTTTTTTCAATTCTGCATAGGAGAGCTGTAATGTTGTTGAAATGAGTTGAATAGAAATTGAAAATTCATCCTCCAAATTACAAATATGGGGAAGTTTTTTCTTTGTCCTGTAAAGCTGTCAGTCTGCAGATACGCGGTATTGTTCCTTAGCCATTGAAAGGGTGACCAGATGGACTAGATCTAAACCACTCAGGTTCACTAGCAAATTTAAGTTCAAAATAAATTGCTTTTTTGCTCTTTGCGTTAATTCTGCGCACTTCTGCACGTTCCTTCTTTCCACAATATTTTACTAGCATACTGTGAGTAATTTTTGCATCGCTTTAATAATTTTAAGTTTAAGAACCGAACAAAGGAAGGGTGTCTTAATTTTGAAGAGCCAGTCATCCTGGAAGATACGTTTAACTGGCCAGTCAGGAAGTTCAATCGTCTGTGTAGATGACCACCAATGATATCTTATCAATAACATAAAGTACAAATTAATCTCGCTGTACATTAATTATATTTCTGTGATGCCTACCTGGGTGCAGCGTGCATCCGGTTTGTATGGTTTGGGCAAAACATGAAGTAAGCAGCTCTAGCAAAATAAAACAGAAAGCTGTACTTTTTATGTTCGGATTGTGTGATGTAATTCCTAAGCCAGAAATTGATTTTCTTGCTCCAAATTAACAATTTAAATTTTCATCAAGTTTTTTTAATAGTTTTTGAGGGTCCCAAAGAATTTTTAACAAACTGTTCTTTCAAAATTCACACTCTAGAATGCTCACCTGTGCTGAGTATTTTGAGGCTTGAGAATCTAGGTCCCTAATGTTCATTTAATACACCATGTTTCCTTTTGCTTATGTAATGAGGCGTTTTCTGTGGAATTCTAAGAACAGGAAGAAAAAAGGAAAATTTTCATACTGTAAAAAAGTTTCACTATCCGGAACGCATCATTTTCTAGTAGGATATTGCCCACCATCAGCACTGATAGATCAAATGACGATGCAGCTCAATCCACTTTCGAAAAATAATTTTTTCTTTTCAATGACTTTCTGTGCAAATCTTATCCTTAAGTTTGTTTTAATTCTGTTTATCTTTTCTAGAGCGTGTGTAATGAGACTTTTAGTTCAATTTTATCCTGTTTCTTGATTAAAAAGAAAAGCAGAAATTTTCCGTTTTCAGTGATAGGATGTGTTTTATACTCCTTGTTTTTTTCTGTAAGAACTGTTTCTGTAATTTTGACTAGCCTTTGGATCTGGACGGGCCTGAATTTGTAATGCAATGATTTTCTTATGGAAATAAAGAAGTATCCGTTTTTATGAGAATCCTTTTGTTGTTAAGTTTCTTATGGGGGAAGAAAAATCTACTGTCTCGCTCATTTCAGGCACGTGCCATTCCTCGAAAGGACTCCTTGTGTTTATTATTGTACAAATCTTGTAATTTAATCCCTTTCCTTTTCCATTCATCTCATATGTACAGTTTCCCTTTTGTATTTTACTTTTGTTCTTAATTATTTTTAGCTATCAGAACACCCTTGTTTGTTACTACTTCAAGTCCCCAAAGGAGTATTATTGAGTTTGTCTTGTCGATAAAGTCTTTTTTCCATCCAATAGAAGGCGCTCATCTCTCCAAATAACAATCAGTGCTTACGTCTGTTCATCAGCTGGGAAAAACGGTAAATTGACTGAAAAACCGTAAGAGAAATGTATTGTGCTATCAACAATGATACAAAAGAGCTTGAATAGCATCAGTGTCAGCTATGTTCAGCTTTCAGTCCCCACTGAAGACTAATAGTTCAAAAATTGTATATTCACCTAGGCTGTATTCGAAATTTTAAAGCTCTACCCCCAAGTGAGATAAATGCAACATTTTAGACTGGTCAAAAGCATCCTCAATTTTATTGGGTTTTAAAAGGCTTTTTGTCTCAAAATAGTGAATTTGTACATAGGTACGATTGTTCTCTTTTATATTCTTGTAGATTTAATGCTGTCACATATTTCCGTCTTTCTTTTACTTAGTCCGTTGGACTCTTTGAATACTGCGCATTTTGCGCTCTCCTCACGTAGTTGAAGAGATAGAGAGAGAAAGAAAAAAGCTGTGGGACCTTTCAATCAAGTGATTAAAGCATGTAAATGAATGTTGTGTGTTCTTTAGATTCATCAATAAAAGTATTAATAGTAAATCGTTTTTTTTCTTTCTGATCAGTACCTTTTCATTTTATTGCTGGTCGACTTTTCATTATGATGAAAATGGATCGATGTTTTCAACCAGAAAAATGCGAATATCTTGTGAAACGTTGGTCGTAAAGCAAAGTGGACGACATTTTATAGCTCCTCTTCATTCTTGTGATCATACTTTTGCACCCCCTATGGAGTCGGGGTCCTTTAGGGTCACTTCGAATTTTCAAAATTTTGGTGCTTGTTGATTTTTCATCTTGATTAAAGTGGATCAATTTTTTCAAGCAGAAAAATGCAAACACCTCGTAAACCATTGGTCATAGAGCAAAACTGACGAAAATTTCCAGCGCTTCACACCTCTGTGATCACTCTAGCCGCCCGGGCTCCTTGGGCAGCGGAATCTGATGCCAGATTTGATTAAAAATTTCAAGAAAACCATGCTATGAGGATTTGAGCTAGGCGAGTGATTCTCGAGCATTTGCACTGGGATTGGGAACCATTTTTATGCTGGCAAAACTTTCAAAAACAAAATTGTGAACTTAAAAGTGACCAAGAAGGGTCTGAAAACGGCCAATGAACGCTAAAATGAGTAGAATGAGAGAGGAGGATGTTCACAGAGGGATGCTTTATATGTTAATTTTTTCTGTCAATGTCTCCTCACATTATTGGTTTTTTTAAGTTATCATGCTTAAATAAAGACTAATTCTTGCAAATTAAGGCTTTTAATAGTTCAATGGATCTTTAGTTCTCTATTGTGAACTATCAACTATCATGTCAGAGGATCTAAGAAGCGTCCTATGAATTTTCTTGAGAGGCGCTGGGCATGAGAATGGACAACCATTTAATTACAACGCTTACTGATGATCAGCTTGAACAGTATTTTTTTATCACCCTTACATTCGGTGCAACATTCTTGAAGTACAGTAAATTCCTCCCAAATGTTTACCTCTTCAGTGTTTAGCTCAAAATTCAGAAATTAAAAGGAAATGGCTTTACATAAAATCGGAGCTGTTTTCAAATATCCAGGGAGAAACATGCCATCAATTGAGCTAGTTAACATTAGCAACTTCTAGTGAGATTGAAATCGCCAATACACTTGAGAAGCACGAAAACCGTAGGAGAGTCGTTGTGATCGTCTGGTATATGGGAGGACACAATTCCATCCAGGAAACCGAACATCGTAGGTGACGCAGCAGGACAAAATTTGCCTTAAGATGAATTGTACCATAACTCAGAGGGGTAGTTCTGCATTATTTGGCACAAAGATAACTGAAAAATTCCTAAATTTGACCACTTGGCAGCATTCCAAAGTCCGAGAAAGAAAAACAAGTTTTTCTAATAAACAGCGCTTAAAGTTTGTCTGCTCTGTTGACAGTCTTGCAGAACAATCCATCTAATCGCTTAAATCATTAAAAATGCAAATCATGGCTTTAAACTCTGACCCAATGCCTTTCAGAGTTTCATGTAAGAAATTACCATCATCGAGAATTAAACATTGGGGTTTTTTTTTTACTCTAACGGTTTTCTGGTCTACTGAACAGTAGACAAAGGCGCATTTTGACCTGCTGCGTCATATATAACACCCACATGGTAGTATCATTAATTTAAATTACGGGAAATAAGAAAAAGATGAATGACAGATATTGCACTTATTAATCGAAAAAGTGTGGCAAACATAGAGAAGAATGTGCACCCCAGGAGCGCAGTCAACTCACTTTAACAATCTTATTATTATTCACTCTGATTAATTACTTTACTGTACGATATCTAAGGTCATATACATAGGTGAAATATGAGCTTAATCTTATTTTTGTTGAGTCGACTTGTTTTTAGAAAAATTAAAGAAACGGGTTTCCCGCAGCAAAAATGTGGTGCAAATGAATGTTGAGGATTCAAAAAAAAAGTATCTGGCCTTTAAACTCTGAAGAAACTTAAAGAAAAATTGCAGAAAGCTTTTTCAATGGAATTTCAAGATTTATTAGGCACGTTTTGTAACCAGCTTTTTGGACAGAGAAAAGTGCTCAATGGAAAAAGTCCGTACATTTGATGAAAGCTGTTTTTGAGGAAAAGAAGTCCTCATGAACAAATTTTCATCCTATGCAACCGTTGAGCCGTGTTAAGGCCTATCACGGTCGCACTCTATACACGGTACTACGGGGTGTTAGAAAGGCCTCCCCCTCTCCAACTTTTAACCTAACTGAATCAGTGAGAACGAAAACACACCTACTCGGAAAATTGAAAAGAATCAAACCGAACAGTACATGAGGAAATTAGTCTAAGAAAGAGATTTTTGGTGCCGAAATACAAGCACTTAAGGGCATTTTAAAGGTCCAAGTTGGAACAGATGCGCTAACTTCAATGACTTTTATAAGAATTGACCGTCTCTGGTAAAAATTGAGCAATTTCGAGTTACCGCGTTGGTGTGTTTTCGAACTCACTGGTTCCATTGAGGTAGAGATTTGAAACTTGGAGGATGCTCCTAGGTCAAACTAACATTTTCAGGGAGGCCTTCCGGGGGGGTCCTTTCTTTCAAATAGGAAGACTCCCCTTTGTAGTACCTCGTTCGAAAGAGCATAATAAAAGGAAATTTTTCCGCGCAAACCTGAAGTTATTATCTCAGATCGTTAGAAAATATTGAGGTTCAAGATGGCCGCAAACTAACACCGGTTGTTTGTCAATGGATTTGCGTAAAAATCGGTAAAGATAGGTAATTTGGCACGAGAAAAAAGAACTTGACGTAAGGTTTTTGCGAAAAAAACCGTAAATTTTCAAAACGGCCGCCGGTTTTAAAGTTTAAAATGGCCAAATATTGTCACCTCGGTTTTTCGCGGATGGATTAGCCTGAAACATGGAACTTGACGGTATTTTGGCATGAAATCAACAAATTTGAAGATAGATTTCTAAAAAAAAAACATGTGCGTTTGCATGCATTATCTTGGACAACCACAAGAAAAATCTTGGAGCTATACAAGGACAAGGGAAATCTTGTAGATTACTATCGTCTGTTCAATCGATTTAGTGAGACTTTGTTCCAGGTAATTCTGGTAATTTGGTCATTCTGTTCAGCCATAGGGTAAATCTCTAGCCTACCATGATGAAAACTTTTTCCAGGCATAGGACGCTGCTGCTATAATTTGCTTTTGTTTTTTGGATTATGCTGCTGGAGTCCGTGCAGCTTTACCATAAACCCTCAAGTTAGTGTTGAAATTGCAGAGTCCTATTAAGATTAGAATCATAAGTTTTAGTTAGACCTTTCTTCTTCCTTTTTCTGTTGACCAAAAATTTAGCAGCGTAAGGTGATGAACTTTCTCCAACCTGTAGCTGAATGGACTTTAATGAGAATCAGTTCCTGTCGGCTAAACACAGGTAAAATCTACAAAAAAAATGTGACAGTAGATATTCACAAAAGAGAAATTGCATATGTTGAAAAAGAGGACGAAAGAGTAGGGTAGTGCATAAAAAATTCGAGACTCTATTAACATAAAAAAGAAACAACTTTATTTAATTATCTACAAAGTTAGAAACAATTATCTATTATCACTTTTTTGACTATTATAATATACAGTAGAGGGTTTGACTTAGACAAAAAGTACATTTGCACATGGGATTTGAAAAAACAAAAATTTCCTCGCATAAAATAGACTGGTAAAATTGGCAAATCTGCAAAGTTACTCGATTGTCATTGAGCGGCTTGGGAAAAGGCCTAAAGATAAGCCTGACAAAAGCACGATGCCGCGTGCTTAATTTTCAAAATTCATGAGGACTACGAGTACACAACGGGTAGTCTGGAAGTCAACTCCTTGACAGGATATAAAGTTTTCTATTAACACTGATTGAATGGAAAAACTACAAATGACGCCATTTGTATGATATAACTTCCATTTGATCTTCGTTTAAGTGACTTGAACACATCTCGTTCAGGAGTTGATTCCAAAACTCCCTATTGAAGCGTTTACTATGAAAAATTTTAAAGAGAAAACTTGTGACGTTCCATTCTGTTTCAGACCTTATCTGGGGGCCCATTAATAAAATCTGACACTTAGTAGGTAACTCCTTAATAATATACTCAATCAACCATCACCATTTGGCCACTGTCAATGATGTGTGACCGAGGTTTCAGCTTAACCCTAGTCTGCCAAACATGGGTCAAATTGACCCGGCAGGCTCTAAACACATGCATAACTTTCTTAATTTTCGGCCCACGGACCTGTGCTTCAGATATGCAAAAACCCTCATTTATGCAAAACTATCATGATTTTGTGAAAAAAAAAATTTTCCGACCCGTGGTGAATTTTAATTCAAGACTACCCCTCAAACGGCAATTGAGGGGTCTATTTGACCCATATGCAATTCTATAGGGAATTTTTGTTTTTCAGTGCATTTGATGTTGGCATCACTGTGTGTTTTGATTCGCACGTTATAGGTTATGTAACCATCAACAAATATTGCATCAGAAAAGTTATCGTTCGATCCCACCAAGTAGAGAGCTTTTTTGGATTCACCAAATTCTAGAGATAATTCCCCTATAGTTAATTTTGAAGACATGCGTTGGAACTGGAATTCCATTTTTCCTACTTGACTTGGATTTAGTTCTTTATTTTTCTCTTTTTATCTTGTTACCACGTTCCTCTAAGGAAAGTAGTATTCTCAGTATTCCCAGTAGGGAAGTAGTATACCTCATTATGCCTGATCAAGAAAAAACCCCAGATCCTGGGGGCAACCCTGATCCCCAGCATTTAACTAGTAGAAACAACAATAATAATGATCAAACTACTCAAAGCCCTACTAATAATAACAATCAATCTGCGGCCCCTCAATCTACAGGTAATCGTAATGCTTTCATTATAAAAAGATTAAATGACATTCGTTACGAAGAAGATGCAACAGGACCCTTTATGGTAGCTATTAGTAAACCTGGTATCGGTAATAAACACCCAACCCTCATTGGAGAGTTCCTATATAAATCTAAAATTTCAGGGTTGAAAACGATCCAAAGAATAAACAAGGACAAATTTTACCAAATTCAGAGGCAATTTCTAGTTGTATTTGAAGATTTTTGAACTATTGTGACAAAGTTTTTGTACTAATATTAGTAAATTTTTCTATTTTCATGATTATTTGTAGCCTTGAAGCCTTCAAAGTAATATATTATAACTGTTTAGCCCAGTTTTGAGAAGGAGAAAACCTCGCTCAATGTTGATCTGGTGCCTGTGAGGCTAATAAATCACGCGTCATCTTACCGTGTCACCGCTAAGACGACACTGCGTTGAATTTCACTAACCGGGACTTCGAAGTGGCAAACAAGCGAAATGAACGTGCATACTACTGACTGTGTCTGTAAAGGGCGTTTGTGCCATCCAGCTCAGACTTCGGTCTGGACTAGAGACCAAATCAGGACTCACGCTCCTTATTACAACGGGACACCTACACGATTTTGTTTAGGGCTTTACCTTCACAATCTCAGTAGGCGAGGACAACAACGACCTCCAGTCAGAAAAGGAGATCTAACTCCACAGTATTTTCGTTTAATTCCAGAACTAACTAGGCGAGATACTTGTTTAGGGTGTTCATGGAAGAAGCTTGGTCAGACTTTCTCTAACGAGAGAGTGGAGTACACGCGTGCTAAGATTTGCATAGCGGCTAAAGGTGAATTCATTCACCATCGAGAAAACGATAAGAGATTAACATCACTAGCTTACTCACATCAGTTATCAAATAGCTATTTCTCTATCCACTCGAAAACAGCCGAGAGCATTGAAAGTGCGAAACCGATAATGTGTACACAATGTGACGACACTCTAGCATATAGCTTAAAGCGTAAACTAATATCAGAAGATGAGACCATAAAGCACATCACTGTTACATCCGCGGCAGCAGACACTGTAGCGTTTGGACTTGTTGTAGCTACCACTGGTATGTCTCAAAACGTGTATAGAGCTCTCAACGCCATTGGCGTTAAGCTAGAAAAGGTGTCAAAAGACAAAAAGAGCAATGACTTCAAATTAGAAGGGACATCATTGTTCACAAGTAGATTGGATGACTTAGGGGAACATCCGGCAATCATATTCTCAATGCCGAGTGAGGTACAAATAAATCAAGATCGAAGTACTTTCACATATTTACCTAGTTAGAAGACCTACAGCATAAAGTCCAGAACATTATGTCTAGGATTCTCAAATGCAGACGAGTGGATCACTGTAGTGACGAAAAGACGATTAAAGTCAGAGAGTCACATCCGCTACGAGAGGTATTCAAACTACTACCAAAAATTACTGCATTATCCGAAAGGTGTCAACCTCGGAATGGATAACACCACAGATCCATCAACTTAGAGACATAGGACAGAGTGCAATTGAGATTTCATCTCAAACAAAACAAACTCTCAGTTTTAACAGAGAGGAGGGGGGTGTCGGACAGCTGTCATTCACCATTAATAAGAAGCTATGCTTCATCAAATAAATAAGATCTCGAAGTGACGATACTTCAGAAATTTTTTGAACTAGAAAAGTTTTTGTACTAATAATAGTAAATTTTTCTATTTTCATGATTATTTGTAGCCTTGAAGTCTTCAAAGTAATATATTATAACTGTTTCTTTCCAAAAATGTGTATGAGTGAGTATTCCAGTCGGTCCTACCCAAAATGCGAGGAAAATCCCCAAAAAACCTAAAAATTATCCTTGATTATCGGGCTGTACAAATAATGCTAGATCAAAAACAGTGCTAATTGCATAACCTGAACAGTGCAGGATGTTTTAGGAAAATAAAAAATTCAAAATGTAGGCCCTAACTATCATTAGAATATATAGTTACCAAAAAAAAGTGTAAAAAAAAGAGTAAAATACAGCAAACACATGTATTTCAAATACGGGTCAAAATGACCCGTAATTGGCAGACTTGTAACAAAAATCTGTTTGGCAGACTAGGGTTAACGACCGAAGGAGCCTTATAAATTGTTGCCATTATTCCTCATTTTTACCGCGGCAAAGCCTATGCTTCACCGTTTTTTCATTGCTCCGAAGATAAATTAATTTTGCTTCGAGACCTATAACTGTTCCAAAAACCATGGTCAACTAAGATTTTCGTCATATGGTGTCATAGTAGTGGAGGGGGAGCTATCAGGTGCAGATGTGAAAAAGTCACACTTTAGGCGAATACATTCTCGAGGTATGATGCCGAGCAATGCAGCAAGATAACTGTGCACAAATATGCATGTGTGTATCACACTTCTCTGTCAAAACTTGTGATCACATTGTTATAACAATTGTAAGTCTTCATCTTCGTAAAAAAAGAAAAGAACGAAAAAAAATCTCAGAGCAAATGCCTTGGATAGCAAATGTTATTTTTTAAAAATATTTTTGGGCCCATAAAGTTGTTCGATTCAAAAAAAAACTGAAATCGTCTCTTCTTTGCCAAATACGATCCAAATTATCAAAAAATCGATTTACGTCTTTTAAAATTCAATTTTTCTACTTAGGCAGCGGCCAAAGTCAATGTGTCTAAAAAAACAAACCAAATTGAGATTATTACCGAGCAATGCAGCAGGATAACTGCGCACAAATATGCATGTGCATCACACTTCTCTGTCAAAACTTGTGAGCACATTGTTATAAAAATTGTAAGTCTTCATCTTCGTAAAAAGAAGAAAAGAACGAAAAAAAATCTCAGAGGAAATGCCTAGGATAGCAAATTTTACTTTTTAAAGCTATTATTACGCTTCTCAAACTCAACATGCAGGTGTTACATCACAAAACGGCTATGTGAAAAGTTCGGGAGGTGGATTGCTAGCTGAAATGGCCCGCAACGTGACTTTAAAGAAAGCAGGTGGTGTGCTTCCGCAGTATACCTATGCTGCCGTGGACGGGCGCCAATTAAAGTTTGCGTCGAAGGGTGATTTTGGTCACACCTCAGTCCGCCTCGAGATAAAACCGAGGAACCGGGCGCGGGTGGTGGGAGGTCCTTCTTGTCCTCCGCGCGGCGCTTCTTAGCTGCTTTAACTGCGTTTTAAACCCTCATGCAGATGGACTTGCGGTGTTCTATCTCCGGGATGACACACGTCGTTATTTAGAGCACTTGTGCCGTGATCATTTGGATAATTAGAATCTTAGAATTATTCCATGTTATTTTCATACCATTGGATTTTAGCTTACTTAAGTCGAGCTCAAATTTAGTGTTCATTTTTGTTTTAAAAAAAAGGCGTAACTTTTTAATATTGTTATATTAAAGGGCAACCCCTAGAGAGGGTATTTTAATATAGTATAAGCACTGTCCTCCCTCCACACAATAGGTCTAGAGTTCCCTAGACCTTTTCTCTAGTTCTTTTGTCTAGTTTCCTTTCACAAAATAGTGCAGCAGAAACCGTACAATTGGTGGATAGACGCGGAGTGGAGGACTCTGTTCCACCTAGACCTGTCCGACCAGGACCTGGTTATTTTGAAGGAGATATGCGACAGGAGGACACAGGCCCTAGTACTGTACTGTTTCAGTAAGAGGGTCAAAGTGTTTAAAAAACAGGGAAAAGACCAGGAAATAATAAAAAAGCAGCCGGAAAATAACTAAAACATGGAAATCGATACTTGGGAAAAGGGGCGATGAACTTTGAGGTAAGGCGTTAAAAAAATTATTTGAAGCAAGTGATATACATTCAAAGAAGTGATCAAGAGGCAAAATGAAATTGTCATTTCGGTACTGTAAATCGATCTCGGTCAGTGCAGGTAGGATAATCATAATGTCTTCACCTGATATGGGAAACAAGAAAACTTCAGCGATATAAAGCAAGACATCTTACATCAGTGGTGCGATCTTTGGCTTTCTTCCCCTCCTTCTGAAGATGCCTGGTTTAAAAGGCTGGTTCCCGATTTCGAAGAGTGGATCTTTAGAGACAACAGAATGGAAACTGACTTTTTCCTCACCCAACTACTATCAGGTCACGGAAGCTTCAGATACTACCTCTTCCGGTTCAAACTAGTTCAGAACCCAAACTGTGTTTTTTGCTCTAGAGTAGTGGTAGATGATGCTCAACACACCTTTTTTGAGTGTGATAGGTTTTTAAGAATGAGACTAGAAATTGAGGCCGATTTGAATGTAGTATTTAATGTAGGAAATTTCCAACAGATAATTATAAAGAACTTGACAAATTGGATTAGAATTAAGAGATACGTTAAAGACATTATTAATATTAAGACCTTAGCTTTCAATGCAATGGACTCTTCTTGATAGTTTTAATTCTTATTTTCTTTTCCAATGTTAATGTTATTTTTTACGTTCTTTAATCTTACACCGCTCTCTCTCTTATCTTTCCAATCTTTTGGAATTAGAAGTTAGTACTGATGTCATGCTTTATTGCCTTCCCGGTACTTTCTTCTATATTTTATTCTTTAATTGTCATCTTACCTTTTATATAAATACTGTTCTCTTTGTAGTAATTAACTCTGTCTTAGTTAGTAAGAAAATTGACTTAATAAAGAACAAAAAAAAAAAAAAAAAAAAAAAAAAAAAAAAAAAAAAAAAAAAAAAAAAAAAAAAAATGTCTTCACCTATCGAGTGGATTGTAGTGTCGCCTCCGTGCTCATCAGTGACTTTCAACAGTGCCGAAACCCTCGCGGAATCGCCGAAAAAGTGCTCCGTTTTGTTAGGACGTTGCGATGGACAACCTCATGTCGACGCCCTCAACTTCTGAGACACAACGGAAGAAAGTGACGATAACGGAGTATTTTGCCAGGAAGAGTGGGAAAGGGAAGTCGTACGCCGGAGCAAAGAAGAGCTCATCCGAGATTCCGACTACGGATCAGACGTCTCCGCACAATATTTGTCTAACTGAGATATTTAGATAAGAGCTAAACTCTTTATCTTAATTGCGCTCATTACATTCATTTTCTGTCTCTCGTAATAACGACTTTTTTGATAAACTTCAAGAACTCGAACGCGCCTTTTTATCGAGGTCCGATCTGGTATTCCTGCCGGGAGCCTCGGCCTGGCGGGATCTCACTCTCTTGCCTACCTCAGACCCAGCTCCTACTGCTCTCTCTCGTTTTCGACTTGGCGTTATTTTGGATTCTGGACTTACGATTTTTGGAACTTGGAAACCCCGGACAACTGTGGTGAATCGTCGAAAGACTTTTCTTTATCCTCTCTGGAATCATTTCATTTTTAGACGACTTTAATAATTTTAAATGAGCTATTAATCTCAATTTTTCATTTCTTCAAAATTCTTAAAATTTTCCATTTAAAAAATTGTGAAACGCCAGACTTCTTTGTCTTTATTAACTTGCATCAAAATCCCTATCGTAAAAAGCATGAATGTTTAAATTTTATTTTTCATCAGTTTGCTAATTTGCTCTCCCACTCTGTTTTAGCATTTGCAGTTGTCTAAATACTTTGTTTTTCACTCAAAGGGTAAATCTCGAAGTATTTCGTCAAGTACATCTCATCAATCGCTCCTCCAGTGATCGAGTTGATTCTTTATAAGAGTAAATCATAAATTTTATAAAATTACTTCTTATAGAGAATCGAATCCATCTCTGAAGGAAGGGTGACCTTTCCCTAGTTGGGAATTTCCCTTATAAGGGTGGCCATCACATAACAAAAGACGGCAAATCTTCAGGTTCTCCTCCCTGGAGAGTTGAGATCCCAGCATTCATTCATCTCGAAGAATGCGTAGCATTGTAATCTGAGGTAGTTATAGTCAACGCGGGTCAGTGCATCAACCCTCGCTGGCTTACCCATTTAGTCTCTCCTTTAATTGTAAGTTCTTGGGCCGGACCCTTACAATTATTACTCACGTGAAGTCGGTGCACAATGTTTACTGCGTGTTAATTACTTTATGCCTATGTAATACTAATATATATACTATATCCCTGCAACGAACCTCGGAGATAGGTTTTGTGGCAAGTCCGAGGTTCAAAAAATAGACATTGACAAGTGTGTGGACGTAAAATTGTGCCAAAAACTGAAGATGAACATGACCCACTTTCGTGGGTTCGTTAATCAACACTCTTGGTGGAGGTATTATTAAGTTAGATCTTTCAGCTGACCAATTCTTTAATTCAAGTGATTTTGAAATTAAGGGCAAAAACACGTCCACTAAAAATCAAACACCCCCCCCCCCACAAAAAAAACCCCTACCAAAGATTTCAACTAAGTTTGTGGTAAGCCGCTTTGATGAAGGCGGTGCTTGTCGCCTTAGAAGTAAGTAACCAAGATACCTACTCTTTAGGACCCTAGGCTGAATTGCAACTAAATCCATTTCCACTGTATTAACAAATATGGTCGAGAGTACCAACTGTTTCCGTAGATGCCTGATAAAAAGGATCCGCAGGTTCTTCAATGCAACACTCACCGTTTAGTTCACACTTAAGTTACATTCTGACTGATGAATGTGTTCACTTTCCAACAATGTTAAAGAGGACAGCTTACTGGCAAGTGAAGGCTGCAAATCTAACCTAAAACCCCTAATCCCCCCTATCCTAATTACTAGAAAGATCCCTGAATCCTGGAAAAATGTTAAAATTTTCACCAGTCTTAAGAAAGATAAAGACCCTCAATTGGCCTCTTCCTCCAGACCTATTGGAATTATTTCAGCATACAGAAAACTTTTTGAGAGAATAATTCTTAACCGTTTAGAGTACTTTCTCGAAAAAAGTCACAAACTTTCGCCCTTCCAATATGGCTTTAGAAAGGGTAAAAATGTTTATTATAATCACTTTCAAATCTCCAGCCATGCTTATATCTAACCTCCAGGTAACCAATTATTGAGTAGATCCACTTATTTGGGCCCTCGCGGTCCACCCCCGCCGCTCTCTACTCCAACGGCTCAACCCTCAACCCTTGCGCGCCCGGTCCCCCTCCAGCCTCCCCCGCCGCCTCTTCGGTTTATACCGATCTTTCTCATCACCGGACGGCGAGGGGGACTGGAGGGTGCGACAGGGGGGCCCTGTTCGACCCCCCGGCGGCACCGTCGGCAGGCCTAGCGAGGCCGCATTCGGTTCCCGCCATCGTCCCGTTGCTGAATACCCCGCATTCAGCTCCGGCGAGCTTCGCCGCGACCTACCCGCCTGCGACCGACCCGCCCGCGACATACCCGCCGCAGAATCGTGCCAACTCTCCCCCCTCATTTTGGGATGCCCCATCGACTTCATCCGGGGGTCGCCGGTCCCGTCTGAAGACAATTAGACGGCCGGCGACTCAAGCGCTTTCAGCGTGGGGTCGGGGGGAACCGCGGTCCGCGAACGCGATAGTCATAAATAGCTGTAATTTGGCAACACTGCGTTACACTTATCTTATAAGATATTTGCGTCGCCAATTTGCTTCGCCAAATATTAAGGGATTATATTGTCAAAATCCTAGACGGCTATCTTAAGAACATGATCCGCCTCATACGTCTCGCTAAAATTCATGTTACTAAATTTTCCTTATTTATTTCATCATCCGAATAAGTCATCACCCAATTGTTATCTGTGATTCTCATCCTATAAAAACTCTGAACACCATTGTAAAGATGCTCATTAGTTCTTTATGAAGTTTTTAATGAAGTAGGAATTATCATCGAATTATTATCACTTTTGTTTTACTCTCATTCTTCTAACGAATAGTCCGGATCAACTTATTAAAATCTGTAATTTGATTCCGGAATATAAAGTTTCTTCTACCTTGTCAAATTGTTTACAGTTTATTTAAAGAGGAAACTTTCAACTCGAGCGCGAGGCTGCGCAATCCCCCGGCTTCTGGACAGATTTTTGTCCATTTCCTTTGCCACATATTTACATTATACCCCATTTTTATCATATTTTCCGATTTTTATATTTTTTTCTCACCATTCCCCCCCCCCCCCATAGATTTTTACTTGCTCTTCACACTTCGTGAAACGCGTAGGACCTAACTCCGTCCTACTCTACTAGGAGAGGGCTAAACACCTTCACCTACTCTTCCCAGACCTCATACCCACCAACTCTCAAGATTGGGACATCGATCACCGCCCGTCTAAGACTAAATAGCTCCCCAGAAGTACGACCTACATCTCCGCGACCACACCGAGTAGGATCGAGGGTGCAGAGAACATACTGTTATTGGGATGAACTATTGGGAAGACGACGTGATCGAAGTAGAAGCCAAAGTCCATGCCGAGAAAGAACCGACTCCTCCTCCGAACACCCAAAATTATTTAGAGGAGGAGTTCGTGTCAGAACCACCCCCGAAGAAAGTTTCCCATGTATCTTTGGACGAACTTCAAGGGTGCCTGTTGACACTTCTGATTCAAGAAACGACGGAACTAACGGATCTCGGACTGGCTCCATTAATGAGAACAATGACCGATATGAGCGAATGGATGGAAAAAACCCCCAAGAGGACAACCAAATGGAATACAAGTGGACTGTAGTAACTCTTCTGTTGAAAAAGATAATAAAAGAGAACTTTTCTCCAATGCAATTAAAGATGATTGGCATGGAGTCTTTCTTTCCGCACATGACAACGAGAGAATTGTCCTACTACGGTTAAGTCCAGGAGAATTATACTACACTGGAAATTGGCGTAGGGATGAAACGGGCGTTTATACGTTTTTACACGACCCCACCCAAAAGACAACCAATTCAATCGTCGCTACACATGGACGACACGTACATGCCGTCCACATCTGCAAGTACCAAAAGAGCACCTGTAACTGCGGAACCTCGAACAGACTCTGAGAGCGATCCAGAGGACGCCGTGTTCGAGCAGTATACAAAAAAAAAGTTCAACGCAGCAAGATGGGATCATTTTTTTGTTTATGAGTGTGTAAAAAAATGAAGAGTATTGGTATGGCTCAATAGTCAATCATCAGTAGATGCCAATACCGTCCCTTCTCCCCCCCCCCCTCACTTAAGAATATTTGGAATTAAGGAATATGAAAATGTTAAACAGCTTCTAAAAGAAACCTCTGATGAGGAAAATTATATCATCAGATTCCAAGGCAATGAAACCTGGAAAATCAATCCTACGAACAATGACTCCTACAGAGCCATCTCAGATAAACTAAATGAAAACATATTCAGTGGTATTCCCTATCGAATAAAAATACTAGAAACATCAAGGTTTTTTGTAAGGGTCTCCCACCCTCCATGCCAGAGGAGGAAATAATGAATGACCTTTCAGAGAAAATGATCTCTGTCAGTGCAAGTAGGATAAACATAATGTCTTCACCGGTCGAGTGTATTGTAGTGTCACTTCTGTGCTCTCCAGTGACTTTCAACAGTATCGAAACCCTCACGGAATTGCCCCTCGTGAAACAGTGCTCCGACTTGTTAGAACGCTGTGATGAAAAACCTCATGTCAACGCCCTCCACTTCCGGGACACAACGGAAGAAAGTGACGATAACGGAGTATTTTGCCAGGAAGAGTGGGAAAGGGAAGTCGAACGCCGGTGCAAAGAAGAGCTCCTCCGAGATTCCGACTACGGATCAGACGTCTCCCTGGAGGAGCACCTCTGCGAAGAGGAGATGCAGTTCTCCTAGGACGACGGCAAAGGAATCTCAGGTAGTCCACGACCTGAGTCCCACCCCTTCGCCGGAACCGAGAAAGCAGGAGCAAGAGGAGAACAGCTACCTGGAGAACAAGGAGAAGGAGAGACTGAAGAAGATGGCCCAGAAGAACGAGTGGATCCTTCTCTTGAGGAATTTGACCCACCCCAACCTCGCAGGCACACTTAACATGTTTTAGCCTATGACCATGGACGTTCGCGGACGAGGGGCTCGCTCCCCTGCCGAGAGTTATCGACGAGTTTCGTCGGATGATGCTACACCCGATGTTCTATTCAGATCTTGCCGATCCAGTTCAGAAGGATCTGTTGAAAATCATGAGAGCGTGGGAGTTACGGATGAAGAATCTGAAAAAGCAAGGCATCTCGCTACGCTCATGTGGGTGGACGGATTTAGAGACATTGATGGAAAAAGAGCCCTTTTGCACGACGTTTACTCAAATTGTGTTGGACGAGGCGGTGAAGAATTATGTCTGCGACTCTTGGCTCGGCTTAGAACGGGAACATACATCGTCGGAGCCCACGGAAACCATATCCACGTCTGTCACACGTGCGACTACCTCAACTCGACGTGCAGATGTTACATCACAAAAGTCATCCGCAGCCGGTTCGGAAGGTGGGTGGCTCGAACAAGCGTTAGCACTAGAAACATCACTTACCAGAGATGGCGTAATATCACAATATATCTCTCATCAGGAACGAGGTACATCATTAAGGTTAACCACTCCGGGGGAGATTGGGTACGAGGTCGTGAAGATCGAGCTGTACCCCTTCGCCGAAGTGGTCAACGAGGATCGCCTGAACTGGTGGCGCAACGCGAGGACGAGGGCGCTCGTACACTTCAACTCGCCGCTGGATCCGGACTTGCAGACAATCAAGCGCATATTGGATCGGAAGGCGAAAGAAATATCAGAAATAGAAGGGACCGAGAAGAAGGTGGCGCGGACGACATCATCGGACAACAAAGCGGACAGAGGCAACACAAAGGGGAGACAATCCTAGGAATGATCATGAGCTCGGCGGTCACACCTCTCGCAAGATTTTTCGACAGATGAGAACAGAGCCCCAGCGGTCCTCCCACCACAGATGACTCAAGATGGGGCCTCTATCATCGAAATTTGGAGGGACAAGGACCTCGCGAAGGTTGGTTTCGTCCTCAAACGTGCTTCCAGAGTACGCTCGCTTGGGTTAAAACAATCTGGGCCATTCCTTTTGCCCGATTTGCGCTCTCCTGGGCATCCCTCCACGTCCCACCGGCAATGGCCCACCTCCTGATGGGGTACCACCTTCCGGTGCCGACCTTCATGGAACAGAGGACCCGGCTCCGGAAAACCTGTAAGGCTACACATTGGCCACATCCCCCATAACCATTCTACTTCCTCCCTTCTAAGAAAGTGTTTCTCCAAGCTGAGTGGGAAGCCGAAGTCGAGCGGCGGAGTAAAGAGGAGCTCCTCGCCGAGTCGTCCTCAGAATCCGACAACTCAATTGAAGAGCTCCTCTTCTGCGAAGAGGAAATGTACGTCTCCTCGGACGGAGAAGGAAGACAAGGAGGAGAGGTTAGTCCTGGACCTCTCTCCGACCCCTTCTCCGGAACCGAGGGAGAAGCAGGACTGGATGGAGGAAGCACCGAGCACACAGGCATTGATGGACGAGGAAAAGGAGTACAAGGCAGACAAGGAGAAAGAGAAATTGAGGAAGAAGGCGAAGACGAACGAGTGGATCCTGTTGTTGACGAATCTGGTGTGCCTCAGTGGATGCGGCTTGGCACCTCTCCCTTGGACACTGGAACTGATGACGAGCGAACTGACGAATCTGGCTTCAGATGTGCAGAACTGGGGGATCCTGGCAACAGGTACGTTGAAACGATGTATGAAAGTTTTAGTAGGTCAAGGAAAGAAGTTATTGACTTGTGGCGTTCCGGGTTTGGTGGAGGTTCTGATCGAAGATATGTCATTCACGACATTTTTCGACTTGGAGCTGCCCATCGAGATCCGGAAACCATTTCAAAACTACTGGCTCGCCTCTCCAGCGGGACTTTCATCGTATCCGTCCACGGCTGCCATCTCCACTGCGTGCACGTCTGCCGCTTCGCGAACAGCACATGCAGGTGCTATATCACAAAGCACCTGCGTGGGCGGTTCGGGAGGTGGTGGAGTAATATCGCAATATACCTATGCACCGGTGGACGGAGGGCAGCTAAAGTTTCAATCGAGGATAGTCTCAAACCACCTGCAAGCACCTCACAAAGCACCTGCGAGGGCCGTTCGGGAGGTGGCTGGCTCGCCGAAATCGCCAAAACTGTGAATACAGCGAAGCAAGGTGGAGTAATATCGCAATATACCTATGCAGCGGTGGACGGAGGGCAGCTAAAGTTTCAGTCGAGGACAGTCTCAAACCACCTGCAAGCACCTCACAAAGCACCTGCGAGGGCCGTTCGGGAGGTGGCTGGCTCGCCGAAATCGCCAAAAATGTGAATACAGCGAAGCAAGGTGGAGTAATATAGCAGTATACCTATGCACCGGTGGACGGAGGGCAGCTAAAGTTTCAGTCAAGGACAGTCTCAAACCACCTGCAAGCACCTCACAAAGCACCTGCGAGGGCCGTTCGGGAGGTGGCTGGCTCGCCGAAATCGCCAAAAATGTGAATACAGCGAAGCAAGGTGGAGTAATATCGCAATATACCTATGCACCGGTGGACGGAGGGCAGCTAAAGTTTCAGTCGAGGACAGTCTCAAACCGAGTTGCCGTCATTATCTGATTGTCAAATAAAATCGACGGTACCTGGTTCATTGACAAGCAACTCGCTCTTAGAGCAATTATGTCAAATGATAATACTTAATCAACGATTTTGGACTATTTTAAGGCATTTATAACATGTGATCACAGTTTTTTGCTGTCTTTTTTTGCACTCCTGCTCGAGCACATTTTTCTTTAACAGCTACAGCAAGGAACTTAAGTGTATGTTCCTGGCAATTTTAAAAAGTTACTAGGCAGAGAAAGTGACTGCTGGGAACATAAAAATTAGACTGTGCGCACCTGAGTAGCAGCACACACACACACCTCTTTGGATACTACAAAAAAATATTTAAAAAAATTGTCACCACAAGTTTTACACGTTATCATGGAGTACAGTGGGAGGATGATTTGTAAGGTTGTCCTGTGATGAAGTAAAACATTTGTGACCTGATTATTGAGTTGCACTTCTGGAACTCTGGTGAATTATTGGATTTTAAGGTCGAGGCTAAACTTTAACAGCGCAGTTGTTCAGAATTATTGTTGACTGTCCTGGAAAAAAAAGAAGGAAAAAATCGCATTAGTTACAGCTGCAGCCGCACTTGGATACTAAGTGAATCATTATGAAATGTTTGTTTTTTTATCCAGTTGAATTTTGGGTTTCAAATTCTACAAAAGACAGTACATCTAAGTTTCCCAGAAAATATACTAGAAAAAATTGACATGATTTTTTCTCGACTTGGCAGATAGAGAGACAGGTATTGCTTGTAGAACGAAAAAATAATAGAAACATTTTCTCGATTAGGGTTACAACAAGTTCCAGATTAACGAGGTGAATGAAAGGGTCTAAGTATATGAAAAAGCTCGCAAAGTGGAAAGTTAAAAACAAGGGTGGGGGTGAAAAGGCCTTAAAAAAGTTGAAAGGTTCTGAAAATATTGAGCAGATGATTTCTAATGTTTTCATGTTTCAATTCTATTTTATTGTAGTTTGATTGTAATGCACTTAGCTGACTTTGATTACTATTTCACTAAGTATTTGCACTGTTTTATGTTTCAATGTTGTTGAAATCATAAATAAAGAAATTATTATGTGAGGCCCTGAAAACAAGGAAAGTCTTCCGAGTAAAGAGCAATAAAAATAGAGAATACGAACAAAAAGCATGAGTTGTGGAAGGATGATAAAAATAGAGCAAATTTAAGGGCCTTTCTTGTTTGAAGTGTCTTTCCGCAACTTTCAAACTACTTTCATTCAGACAGAAGAAATATGTAATGGTTCTGAAAATCAGGAAAAGTATTCCACACATTCACATGGAAAAAAGGGACATTTTTGTATCGTTTTTCTTGTTTTGAAACAATACAGCCATAGGAAGTGGAAAAAAGAAACAAGACATGCAAAATAAGAAATCTCTTGACAAGTGTCTCTCTCCCCTACCTAGAATAATTTAAAAGTTCACATGAATTGCACTATATAGACCATCTGCAGCAAGGCACAAGTATCATCGATCTCTACGCAGCCTAAAATGAAAACTTGAAAACTTTTGACTTGGAACAATTTTTTCACCTCTCAATGTATCTGGGGTCTTCTCCTATCCTTTTTCCACTTAAAATTGCCATGAAATTTTATGGATGGAAATTTTAATGTAACTTTTGAATGACTTCTTCCTCCACTTTTTCCGATTTTACAATTTTTCCACATTTTACAATTAGAAACCAGTTTAAAACACCATCTGTACCAATAGCTTCCCTACAGACATAAGATGTTTTCTTGTGGATGAGCCAGAAATTGCAGTTCCTAATTGCAAAACGTAGTCCATTTGATAGATACACTATTAGAGCCAAAAGAGTCGTAGAATAAATCTCTGGCTGCATTGATACCAAGAACTCAATTTTGAATTTTTGGTATCAAGGTCCTTTTGGCCTTGGTATATTCATGATATTCGTCAGAAACTCAAAATTGTTAATTAACATAAAAAAGTTACTCACAAGGAATGTTTTAAGTTGATCGTCTGTAAGTAGCAAGACTTGATACTCCGATTCTTCATCCTCGACTAATTGCACATTGTTCTCAGAAATTATAAATGTTTCAGAATTTTCTAATGTCATCTGGAAAAAAAGACAAGAAATGTAACAACAAGTGTAGCTGCAGGAGACCCCTTCTGATGCTTGACCAAACTTACTGACCTTGAATAGGTTGATTTGATTTCCAGGGTCACCATAATTTCTTCATCTTCAAATTCTCTGACTTTTCCTGATCTTCTAAAAAAACGTACAGTTTTTTTTTTTAATATTTATAAATATGCTGACTTTCGCTTATCTTTGGACTAAATTTCCTTGTTTAAAGCTCAAATTATGGAGAAAGGCATTCCATTCCGTAGCTGCTTAAAAGATGACAAGCCTGAAAAATGAACTAAAAAGGTAAGCAGATGGAAGATCAGTGATTCGCAGATGTGTCACACGGAAAAAAAAAAAGAATTGCTGATTCAGCAATTTGATTGCTAAAAACAGTGAGTGCAATGTTTCAACGCAGATTTTACAACAAGAAAATGCTACTGTAACCACCCCCGGGGTTAAATTAGTTTACAATGTGGTTAAAGTAGCAATAAAAATGCTACTTTAACCACCCCTGTGGTTAAATTAGTTTACAATGTGGTTAAAGTAGCATTTTTTTTATGTAAAATCTGCGTTGAAACGTTGCACTCACTGTTCTTAGCAATTGAATTGCTGAATCAGCAATTCTTTTTTTTTCCATGCAGATATTCCCTGACTTTTCCTGGTTGCCTCCAATTCCCTGACTTTTCTGATTTTCCAAAATGCCGGCAACCCTTGATTTCTCTTGCATAATGGCAAAATTGGTGTTTAAAGCTATGCCGATGACAATATTCCACAAAGAAAGGTGAATTTTCGCCTATTTCATACTGATGCGGCAAAATATCATCCGAAGAACATGTTCCATGTAACAAGGTGTAGAAATGGTACTGAGTCCACACCATCTCCTGGAGAAATTAAAGCCAAGAAGTTCCAAAAATTATGATTAGAGTCAAAAATAAATCTTTTCAACTCCAATGAGTACCACTACAAAACTGAGGAATACGTCTTGGATTTTACGGCATGTTACGTCCGGTTCAAAGCCAAGTGTGATCTGCTGATGAGGTCTAAAAAGACCCAAACTGGTATAGATCTCTCGTCAGGACTCCAACTTAATATTCCAATGCAAACTGTCTGAGCTGAACACTCTTCCCCTCAATTTTGTATCGGTACTCAATTGAGTTAAAAAGGTTTATTTTTGACTCTAATTATAATTTTTGGAACATCTTGGCTTTGATTTCCCCGTGAAATGGTGTGGACCCAGTACCATTTCACCACCTTGTCGCATACAGTATTCAGGCCACTTCTTAGTGTTTTTTTCTCATTTGAACATCTTACATCAGCATTGGATTGTGAATCTTCTTTGACGGCCAATATATCATTGACAATGAGCTCCGCAGGTTCGTCAGGATCGTCTACACTATGTGAGGCTCGCATGTGAATCGCCAGTGAGGAGGCTTGGCGGTACTTTCGATTGCACAAGTCGCATTGATACGATTTAGTTTGCTTATGCACTAACTGATGTTTGTACAAGGAGGAATATTCTGTAAATTTTTTTCCGCACTCCTGGAAAGTACAAAAACAAAGAAAAATTATTGGTTAGTTCACACTGCCCGTTTTACAGATTTCTTAAAAGGCCTCAAGCAAACTGTTAGCCTTTTAAGCTTCAGAAAATGAGAGAAAAAAAAACGTTGACTGTGACTCTACATGAAGTTTGCCCTCCCCCCTCATTTTTCAATGTTTCAAACATGGAAAAAGGCATGAAAAATATGCAACTCGAATGACTGAGCTCATCATTCCTATCATTAATAATCACTTACATAATTTCTAGTCTCAATGCCAATGAGAATCAATAATGACAGTTTTTTCCGAAACAGCTTTGCATTGATTTGGGGTAAACAGAACAACAAAGGAAAAACAGCATGAGCGCTAAGTTTCAACGCGGCTCATGACACTTGGTTGAATAATCAAAGAAATCAATAAAAGACATAAAAGTAACTGAAAGAGATCAAAACGTTGTTTTGCTGATAAAGAGCATGAGCGCTTTCTATTAGATAGTCAAAGAGAGCTTCATTAATTATTGAACGCTTTTAAGAATCTAGATCTCAACATTCTACTACTAAACAATGAGCAAAATTTTGTTCATTTAACTTGGAGCATGATTAAAACATGCTATTTGGAATAGAGGAATGAGAAAACTGAATAAGCATGTCTCTCAACTTGAAACTTCAACTTCTAGCTATATTTTATTTTAATGTGGTTAGGGAAACCAAATATTTCTTTCTGTGGGTGTTTATTTTTGGAAGTGTTTTGTTTCAATTAAAATCTAAAAATTCCATACAAAAATAATGGTAACTTTTCGTCCAAGAAATGAAATAGCGAGTGAAAATTTGGTAGCGGTACTTCAAAATCTCCGTTACTTTTCAAAGGAGACCTAACCAGCATCATGACTTGAAATTTTCACAAACTATTTTTCACTTGGAGTAAAAAAATCAAGTTTAAAAAAAATGACGTTTCATAGCTTTCCACGGAGAAAATAAAGTATAACAGGAAGTCTGCAACGCCAGAAACTGAGACATGCATTTCTACAGTTTCACTATTTGAGGGTTTTATTCTGATTTCATAATTAATATGCAATAAAAGGGGTGCAGAAAGATCCGAGCCGTCCCCCGTTTTAAGCAAAAGTTCATAATCACTTATCCCTGGAGAAAAAAAACAAGGACTTGAAAAAAAGCATTAGTGCATAAAATGCTTCCTTTCACCTTGATTTTATCGATTAGTGATACACAAATGTGCATCGGATGCTTGACATGAAACGTGAATAGAAACAAGTTAATATTGGATGTAAAAACTTGATGTTTTAACAAATTTTATTTTTTTTCTTATCTATTAGCTAAAACCATCAAGCACAATCCTGTGGCTGGCGCAACTGGCCCATTCTCGAAAATCTGAAGTTTCTCAATTGAGGAAAATAAAGATAGAAATAACCTTCCTCAAAACAGACCAAAGTAAAAGACTGAAGATTCATAGAGAAATGAGAAGGGGTCAAACAAATTAAGACTCCTCTACTTACAGGAACAGGACACTCGTAAGGTTTTTCTCCAGAGTGGATGCGAGCGTGGTTTTTGAAATTTGTAGCCGAAGCAAATGCTCTATCACAGCCAGGTTCTGGGCAGATGTATGGACGCTCTCCGGTGTGCGTTCTCAAGTGAACTTTACGGATATTTGAAGTCGTGAATGAGCGCGTACACCCTTCCACAGTGCATGGGAATGGCTTCTCACCTGCAATGAACGATCCATTATTACATAATCATAGAATTTGTTCAAGAGTTCGACTGAAGCATGGTGTCTAGAATTCTTGACCATGCTAATTTCCTGAATTTTAGGAGCTCATTCCCTGATCAGAGACCAGTTTTCTCCAACTTTCTTGGAATTTCCTGCCGAAAAACTACAAGAATCTGCGGAGTTCAGACATGAATATCGATTCTTTGGCGCACATTCAATTGTTCATTTCTAAAAGCAATTCTGATGTTTACATTATTTGGTCGATGAAAGCTTCTCCATTATTCTGATGATTAGAGGATTCATACGTCATTCAAAAGTTCAGTAATGGCGGCTTCTGAAAACAAAATGGCCTCCAGGTGGTAGATGAAGAGACTCCTAGTTTTTGGAGCAGATTCTCTGATTTTCCCTCAAATTTCATTCCTGATGAAAACTAGTTTTTCCGGTCCTAGCCACTATGAATTAAAGTGTGCTAGGTACACACTATTTAGCAGGGACATCAGAGCCAAAAATGTTTTAAAATTTTAATTGGAGTAAAAAATTTGAGCTCTAATTTCCAACTCTCATCAGAATTTTTTTGGCCTTCATTTCCCCCTCAGAATAATGGACCCAGCACTATTCTACCACCTTGTTGCAAGGCGTTATGTTCATGACGGCGTTTCAATGATGTCTAGAATTTGGCAGGATGCTAGGCTGGGCTCACTGACGAGTAAGATCAACTGATGAGGTCTAAAATGACCCAAAATGTTATAGACCTCTCGGCGTGACTCTAGATTAGTATTCCAATGCATCTACTTGAGCTGGGCACTCTATCCCTCATTCTCGCTTTAATACTCTTTAGCGTTCAACTTTGTTACTCTGATTGCAATTTTTTTAATTTTTTGGCCTAGATCTCACTGCAGAATAGTGTGAACCTACCTCTATTCTACCATCTTGTAACTACACTGCTTGTTTTCCTCTATTCGAATAAACATGTTTTTTGACGAAGTTTGAAGGTGTTTGCACAACCTATAAAATCTCATATTATTTACTGCACTTTGTTTTAATTGATTTTATTAAACCATCAAACCGCTGACTTGATTCAAAATTTTTTGAGTCATAATGTTGTTAAAAAACTCATTCAAGCAGTAGAATTTAAAATGAATGACTCAATTCTGAGTTTTTTGGCATAACTACCTCTTTTCCTGTGGATGATCAAAATTCATGTTAGAAAATCTGAGAAGTGTGACCATGTTATCGGCCATTGTTATTTCCATGCATTCATGGATTCTTTTGCCCAAAATGCAGTCAACTTTACTAAAAAAGGCCAAAAACTGGTGAAAATGAGAGACAATAGTTTCTCTTAGATAGATAAAAAGTTCTAAATTGGCATTTAACATTGAAATCCAGCTTTTGGAACTCCTCAATGGAAATTTTGGTCATTTTAAAATAGCTTCAAGCGTACCAGTGTGCGTTCGGATGTGTTTTTGCAAATCTCCAGAGGTTTTAAATCGCTTCGAGCAATTTAGTTCCGGACACTTGTATGGTTTTTCTCCGGTGTGTGTTCGTATGTGCGCTTTGCGGCTATAGCTGGTGGCAAAACTTCGGTCACATCCTTCTATAGGGCATTCAAACGGTTTCGCACCGGTATGACTACGATCATGAACCTGTGAACAAAAGGAAAATATTTCATGGTGAAAAATCTTGGTCGATGACACCTTTATGATTTGGATACTGATAAATTTAAGACTGATTGCAAGCGATGAAATTTCCTTTCACATCTTTATTCTTAAGTATTGAAGGAAGTAGTAGGCGGGTTAAACAGACAAGACTTTCTGTCCAGAAAATATTCATCCTCTTTGTTTCCACAGCACATCTTTATTCTCAAGTATTAAAGGAAGTAGTGGGCTGGTTGAACGGACACGACTTTCTATCCAGAAAATATTCGACCTAGTTGATTACGCCGTTTTTACAGCAGAGAAGTGGATGAGGCGAGGTGCTTTTTTTTTCCAGTGCAGAAGTGCCACGTTTCCAAGTGAGGACGCACGCAAAATGGACGTGTTTCAGGAGAACAGAACTAAGTGCATCATGACGTGAGCCCTGTTATGCATACATTCTTACGAGTCTGAGGGCTCATGTCTCAATGCACATAGTTCCGTTTGGCACAAATACGTTCAAATTTACTATAAAGCCCCGGTTTATACGACATTGGCACACAGAAGATCGATTCAAAAAGTTGGTCGTGCTCAGGAATGCAGTGGCGAGGCGTGAATGGTCGATTATTGATACCTCCCCATTTGAAGCTATGGTAAAGAATCGATTATTAAGGTGTTCGTTCCAAGCACCCTGTTTATTGATCCTGTCTCATAGGTTCAAACGGCAGATAAATCGATATATCGCCAAGTACGCCACGCTACTGCTCAGGAGGCAATGAGACGGCACTGATTTAAGGTGATTCGTCAAGCTCAAGTGACGTGGTCGAACTGGCTGCAGATTTTGAATTTTCAGCAAAAAAAAGGATGATAGCCCCTGCGCATGAGCCTGAAGAATCATTCTAAACCCAAAAATCGGCAAAATTCAGAGAAATGAAAGCAGGATAGTGTTTGGAAAAAAACCTCGCATTCGATACCGAAATCGATAGCTGAATCGGATGCGAGGTTTTTTTCCAAACACTATCCTGCTTTCATTTCTCTGAATTTTGCCGATTTTTGGGTTTAGAATGATTCTTTAGGCTCATGCGCAGGGGCTATCGTCCTTTTTTTTTACTGAAAATTCAAAATCTGCCGAGATGTTTGACCTAAAAGATGCGATATATCGCATGCCAGTTCGACCACTTCTTTTGAGCTTGACGAATCACCTTAAGCCTCCCGACATTTACGTCAATGGCTCAAGTCGAATAGTGCGCATCTCCGATTGTAACGTTGCAATATCTCCAATCACGTTTTACTTTACGCGAAGAGATCCGACCGAAAGTTTTTCTCGACATTTTTCGAGAGTTTCTTTTATACATTCTCAGAAAATAGGAATGAGTTGTTTTAGTTTTTTTTTTTTTTTTTAGAAATAAAACACTCTCGGAGGCTTCAAAACGTTGTTTCGGAAATATGCGTTTTTCGACTTAATCCATCGATATATTGATATACATTTAAATCACTAGGATGTCAAGTAACATCGCAGCATCATCGCCGTACGGGTTCCGATGACTCAATGATCCTGCTCAAAAATGTTTTATTGTTGCGTTTTTTAAAAGGAGGAAGCGCACTTGGTTAACAGGTATTTCACCCGATTTTTATGGACGAATTGGACGGCTGGTTTTAAATGCACGGCTGCACCGACTGAAAATCACGGAGGAAGCAAAACGCGACGGAGATAGTGGTCACAACGCCGCTGTGCTAAGGAAGAACGCCGTATGAGCCTTCAGACGTTGCCAAATTTCCTTGGATGAGAACCGAATTTACGGGGAAAATAGTGAATATTTTTTTCCGAAACTTTCAGACTATTTTGTGCGCAATTTAATGTAGAGTATCTGAAAAATTAAAAGAAAAATGTGCATAAATATCGTCAAAATTACATGTTTTATCGAAGGAAATTTGGCAACTCTCGAATTGTCATATCGACGGCGTAAGTCCGCGATCACATATCTCGTTTGCGGTGTGCGAAAATCTCCGCCTATGTTATTTTTTTAAAGGAGAACAAATTGTCATTATTCCTTGAAGTTTTTGCAGAATTTTCCTCGCACGGAGAAGAAAAATCGCGGCAGTTTTAACGAATTGCCGTTGAGTAGTTTTCCGTTTAAAAAATAAAGTATGACAGGAAGTCTGCGACGTCGCAAACCGAGTTACGTGATTGCCGACTTGCACCGTCGATATACATAAAACACGAATTCACTAAGAAATTTCTTAAAGTTTTTCCTCGAATTTTTCAGACGATTTTTTTTGCAATTTAATCTGAGAAATGCCAAAATTTCGGGGGAAAATATGCGTGACTTTCCTTAAAAAATAAATATTTGGTCGGGGGAAGGTCGGCAACATGTGGAAAATTTTGGGATTTTTCAGATTAAATTGCAAAAAAAAATCGTCTGAAAAATTCGAGGAAAAACTTTAAAAAATTTCTTAATGAATTCGTGTTTTATCGAGAGATGTATATAAACGGTGTAAGTCGGCAATCACGTAACTCATACGGCATTCTTTCGAATATTTAGGAAGTCATTCTGGCTGACCTCGGTTGTGTATGCGGACGAAATTACCGTTCCGTAAACTGCGAGTTCTGTTCACTGGAACACGGCACACGGTGGGGCGTGTCAATGGAAGAGTTTGAACATACCTTTCGGAACGAAACCTGCCGACTTAAATGTTTATTTCGTAAAATTTTGAATTTAAAGGGCGTTATCCGATAGAAAATTTGACGAGAAAACCAATAGAACCACTTTCAAAACATCAACATTACATATTGATGTAGATATACGCTTTTTATAAAGTTTTCCAATCATGTCCGACCTCTCCCACTGACTCGATCCGCTGTGCGGCGCGCAAAAATACTTATTAATGCGTACTCTACGAATGACTGTCTGACGTTCACTACTGCATAACAAAGACCTCAGCTTCGCGAACGAAAACATTTTGAGTACATAGAGTCGCAATGTTAGTGGGAGAGCTGGCGCCACATTTAATAATTTAATACCGGTTTCGACAAGGGTCTAAAGACTGATTTTGGCGGAAGATGCTTTGACAGTCGAACCCTGGTAAAAATTGGCAGTAGAATCTGTGTTCCAAAATACCATAGACCTACGGCCGGCTGGAAGATTTCCAATAGCTTCTATAGCCGGCTACACAATTTCTTATAGCCTTTTATAGCCGATGGCGATTAAGCAACTCGCGGCCAGGCGATAAAGTGTATGCTAAACGTCACTAATTACGGATGCTAGGACTTAGTGAGTTTTTGGAATACTGCTCTCTTTTTGAGCCGTAGTATCTTGATTTATTTTGCGAGGAAAGCTCCGTACTTTTGAAGTATGCCTGACATTCCTAATATGTTGGAGCGCCTTCAATTTCGTATGATACTGTGCAATACCTCTGGTGTTGGAAAGTTGCTTCAAGCGCCGCGGTACGCTGCGGCGCGGCGCGGCGGGCGGGCAGCCAGCGCTGAGCGCGCATTGGCGCCTGCAAACCTAACAGGGATACTTCGCGCATTGCGCAATGCGTGAAGTATCCCTGTTAGGTTTGTAGGCGCCAGTGCGTCGCCGCTCCGCTTTGTGTTAGGCTCTGATATTCAATCTGGCGGAGTCAGCGTTTTTCAACTTATGATTTTGAAAAGTTTGCACATCCTGTATGGATTATTCTCGTTTTAATTGATGAAAAAAATATGTATGAAAGGAAAATATAACGTGTGTTTTGTAAATATTAAGGTGGTTCCGACACAAACTCAATGATTTCCAAAGCACACGAATTTCTACACAATTTCTTATAGCCTTTTATAATCGATGGCGAAAAAGCAACATCCTGGCGATGAAGCCCGGCTATAGCCCGGCTGCATAATTTTTTATCGCTTCGTATGGCCCGGCCGTACGGTTTTCTCCGCATTCTACATCCAGCTGTATGATTTTCTGTAGCCTTCTTTAGCCGGCTATAAGAATTCCTACGGTATTTTGAAACGCAGCTCTTATCGCCAATTTTTACCAGGGAATGCCGACAAACTCATATTTTCCGCCTAAACCGGCCTTCGGTTCTATGTTTACGCCAGTATTGGACATGAAAAGAGACCAAAAATTACCAAATCAAGGTCCATTTCGTAAAATATAGACCTTGAATGAGCAAAAAATCATCATGAGAAAAACATGTTACGCGCGACACGTCATCACTGTACACGGTTCGACAGACGTCGTCACCCTTCAGTCAAAGAACCACAAGCGCCATGCGAAGTTTAAAAATTTCCGCCGCCATTTTATTTTTTACAGAGAAACGGGGAGAATGGGTTGGTTGAATCTGTTCGAAAATTTCACAGAATTTCGTCGGCAGCACAAATAAAATTCAGTGAAATCCTCGGACAGCCTCGTCGGACGATTTCTCAGTAAAAGAATAAAAAGACGGCGGAAATTTTTAGAAGTCGCATACACTGGAAAAAAAACAACGCATTGGATCTAGAGTCCAGACTCTTGAAAACATTGACAAGAAAAAAAACAACACATTGGATCTAGAGTCCAGACTCTTGAAAACATTGACAAGAAAAAATACTCTTGATTAAATCAGATTTTTGCTTGAATCAAAAGGAAATCCGCTCGAATTAAGAGGCTTGGTTCTTGATTTAAGCAAAAATCCGATTGAATCAACAGTATTTTTTCTTGTCGATATTTTTAAGAGTCTGGACTCTAGATCCAAAGTGTTTTTTTTCCAATGTGGCGCTTGCTTGTGTTACTTCGGTCAGAAGGTGACGACGTCAAGCCAGTGACCAAGAATGTTTTCAAACAGCCGAATTTCGGCTACTAAGTAACTAACTTAGTCATAGCAGCTGGAACTGGCAAGGTCAGATCATGCAAACCGAAAAACTTGCTCACAGCGTCTCTGGCCAACGATACGCCCAATCTTTTGCAAGGTCAGCATTTCAGCAGTATTGACGAATTAGAGATTTTGGACACAAATCTTGAATGCTGTTCGATCTTTGATCAACCAAGCTG